GTATGTGACTAAGCGTCCTGCAAGCCTGACCAGTCCGAGCACCTGTACGAATGACGTACGGGCAGCGAACAGTACTCCTCGACCCTCTACTCTGAGCGTACCACTCGTGAAGCTGCTTGGACGTGAGTGTCTCGCGTAGACGCCGCTGCAGCTGCAGCTGGCCACTACTAGACGCTCCCAATTGACTAGCTCCAGGGCGACAGCTACGACGGCTACCGCCACAACCTCAACTAGCTTACCACTCACTAAGCTGATGGGGCGTGAGAGACTCGTGGGAACGTCGCTGGAGCTGCATCTGGCCACTGCCAGTAGCAGCAGTAGCAGTAGCAGTAGCAGTAGCAGCAGCAGCAGCCTAGCAGTAGTAACAAAAGTAGTAGCAGTAGCAGCGCAGGCAAGGCAGGCGCGGCAGGCAGGCAGTCAGGCAGCTAGTCAGGCAGGCAAGCAGTCAGGCAGGCGGTGCTGCAGCGCGCGAACAAGGCAGTTTGCTCACCAGTGGTGGGCTGGCGCTAGGCGGGCGACGGCAGGGTAGGCGCACGAATACAGGCGTGAGGTGAGGTAGGGGCGGCAGCACCGAGTGCTGGCGCGTCTCGAGATCCAGAGGCGGCTGCACGGGGTTCAGGGTCAGCGTCGCGGGTCCAGGGGCGGCGTCGTGGGGTCCAGGGGCGGCTGTACGGAGTCCAGGGGCGGCTTCTTCATGGGCCAGGGGCGGCTGCTCTGGGTCCAGGGGCGGCTGATCGAGGGTCCAGAGGCGGCTACACTAGGGGCGGCTGCTTCAGGGGCCAGGGGCGGCTGCTCTGGGTCCAGGGGCGGCTGCTCAAGGGTCCAGGGGCGGCTGCTTCAGGGGCCAGGGGCGGCTGCTCTGGGTCCAGGGGCGGCTGTGTCAGCAGCGCGGCTACGTAGGGGTGCGCGAGGGCAGGGCTGAGCCGCGTGCTGCCAAAAAAAGCGGCGGCGTAGCAGGCAGGGAAGGGCGGCTCGCGGGCTCTACAGGTGCGCGACGAGCCAGGCGGGGTCGCGCACTGCCATCAGGGCAACGCGACTGGCTCCCGTGGGCGGCGCGAGGGCCCTAAGGCGACGCGACGAGCGGGGCCTGGCCCTAGGACGAGAAAAAAAGGAAAATAAACGCGCGTCGCGTGGCCAGCAGGGCGGCGCGACGGGTGGGGCAAATCGACAGGCAGGGGAAACCCTAAAAAAACTAGAGTTAATGGTGGGCCCACTAGGAAATTTGGTCCTAAGACCTAAGTGCTCTTAATACCATGTTAGAGTATAGGCATGAATGGATATTGAGTATCGAGAGGGTTGGTACAAAGGAAAAACCTAAGGGGTTGTACCCCAAAGTGAGTACCCCACTAAGCCTACCCAAAATATATATATATATATATATATATATATGTTTGACAACCACAGGGTTGACCACAGGGCTGACCACAGGGCTGACCACAGGGCTGATAACAAGGCTCATCACAGGTGCTAACCACAGGGCTTACCACAGGGCTATTTACAGTGCTTATCACAGGGGTTACCTTAGGGCTGACCACAGGTTAACCACAAGGTTAAACTCAGCGCTTGCACACGGATTACAGGGATGTGCACTGGGAATACTACAGTAACCATAGGGCCTTTGCACCAGGGCACACTAACCACAGGCTTGTGCATGTGAGCATGCTAGTACCGTAACAGCGAATGAGCATTGCGTCCAGGGCTTTAATGTCAAGGTGAAATAATGACATCACTAGAGCATCAGGGCAGGCTAACAACAGGTCTGGTGTGCTAGGGCAGCAGCACTGTTCTGTGCGTTGGAGGGACTGTGCATTTAAACAGGTTACCCACGGTCCCTACCTCCAGTCCATACCTACCTGTTCATGGCAGCATGCCCGTTCATGGCACCATACCTACCTGTTCATGGCAGCATGCCCGTCTATTGCAGCGTGTGCAATCATGCAATCATGACAGCGTGTGCGCGTGTGTGCTTTTGTATTTCTCCGTGCATCAACAGATTCAGGACGGCAGGTACCGGTATTCTTCAGTGCAGCCCATGGTGATCTCAATGCCAGGGCGAGATACATATTTTCAAGAAACATTGCCCGTAACGGCATAGAAACCTACTGTACAGTTAATAAAAATGTTGTTTAAGGGTACATTCCGCTCTGGACATGTCCCAATGGTACATGTCCCAATCGGGTGTACCGCTCCGAACCGAACAAAACCAGAGACGCGAAAATTTTGACAATGTTTGAAACTAGGGTGTAATTCGGTGTAATAAGATGCCGTGCTGTTGAATCGATTGGGACATGTACGATTGGGACATGTCCAAAGCGGAATGTACCCTAAGTTGATAGGCTGGAAATCTATGATTCTGGTAGATTACCGTATTTCAATTTTCAATAAAGGTATCCTACTTGGTAATTTCGGGTAAAATTTGTTGTAAATTGTTATCTGAAGAACATTGTATTTCAGCTTCACTGCTCGAAACCTATTACGAAGCGTCTCGTAAATCTGGGCATCGCCATCTCCTTCCAAACAACGACTTATCGGCATGGTCGCCTCATTTTCGATATTATTTGAGTGGTAACTAATTTCCAACCACTATTTACCTGCTCCGAATAAGGGCTTAGGCTCGTAACTGACGCAATGGGAGCCAGGGTCGCAGGAATTCAGTGCGGTGCGGCTCGGTCCCAACGATCTTGTTCTGTATGGTTAGGATCCGAAAGCGGAGCAGCGCGCGAGGCGTTATGCCGAGCCGATCCCTCACAGCGACCTCACGCGACAACCGTCGCATGTGCGACGGCAGCCATAGACGCGTACCGGCATCGCACATGCGTCGCACGGAGCCATGCCGTCGACGATTTATACCTGATAGTCAGAGCGCGACGGAAACATTATTCACATCGAGGCCTTCGGAGTGCATCGGGCACCTCTCGAAGCAGCCTCAGCAACACAGCTTTTGAGTCGACTCAAAAGCAGAATCGAGGCCTTGAGAGAGCATCGAGCAGCTCTCGAAGCAGTATCAGCAACACAGCGTCGAGCCGGATACCGTTTCTTGGAACTGGTTACCAGATCGCTGGTTACAGCGGTACTGTTTCGAGCAGCAGTGGCGACAGAGAGCGGAGGAGAGGGAGAAGAGGCGTGATTGTCGCAGCAGCTGCGTCGTCTGGGAGGCCGTCAGCCGACGACGGCTCAAATTTAAGATCGCTAGTTCAAGCAACGCTTGATTTTATCCAGGTAGACAGGCGTGATTCCACTGAGTGCATTGCATTGCACAACATCCCTTCCCCATTTCCCACTCTCCCTGCGCCACGTTCAGGGCCAGAAGCAACTCATGCCTTGACCCTCTACATTCTTCTCCTGGTGCTCGTATCGGTCGTGGGGCTTTCTCTAATCGTCACTACTTCCCTATGCTCGCCCCGCTGCGACAACCCAACCCATCACACTCTCCACTTGCTCAGAGCTCTGGCGAACGAAACGTGTGACAGCGGGTGCTTGTGAAGGCGTTGCTGCTGCTGGCAGGCTCCGTCCTTTGCTGTACCCTTCCCAAGGTCACCCCCGTGCCCCAAAACAACATACTCCCTTCCCTCTCCCCGTTTTGAGTCAACTCAAAACAAGGCTCATCACACACGGATTTTACGTTGCTGCTGCTGGCAGGCTCCGCCTTCGCTGTATCCCCCCAAGGTCACCGCCATGCCCCAAAGCGTCTTACTCCCTTCCCTCTCCCCGTTCTCCCATTCACGGCATGGCGGAATGTGAAGCAGCGGGTGCTTGTGAAGGCGTTGCTGATGCTGGCAGTCTCCGTCCCTTGCTGTATCCTCCGCAAGGTCACCCGCATGCCTCAAAACAACATACTCCTTTCCCTCTCCCCGTTCCCCCATTCTCGGCATCAATGGCGGAATGTGAGGGCAGCAGGTGCTTGTGAAGGTGTTGGTGCTGCTAGCGGGTTTCCTTCTGACCTCTTCTCTCTCTGCGTTCACCCTCTGCCTCAACTCATCCCTCTCCCCTTTCCCACTCTCCACACGCACTCCCCACCCTCCCTCCCTCGCAGCGTCGATGGCGGAACGTGAGGAGGCGGGTGTTTGTGAAGGTGCTGGTGCTGCTGGCGGGGTTCTTTTCAGCCAACGCGCTCTCCACCATCGTGGGGCAGACGGGCGACTGGGACGTGCTCGTCGCCGGCTCCCTCGTCGCCTCCCTTGAGCTCCTCGGCGCCTGCCTCTACCGCCTCCGCCTGCGCGCCGCTTCCGCTGCTGCCGCCGACGCCGCGAAACTCGCAGCCAAGAGCGCAGCAGCTGCTGCAGCAGCAGTAGGAAGAGGAGGAGGAGGAGGGGGGAGGGTGGGAGCAGGAGGTGGGGTATCGGCCAGTGGGACAGGGTCGGGTGGAGATGTGGAGGGTGATGAGGGGGTGGAGAAAGGCGAGGGTGCATTGGTGGATGCAGTGGCGCTGGTGAATTTCTGGAAGGCGGGCATTATATTGGGCCTGTTTGTGGATGCTTTCAAGGTTGGCAGCTGAGGGAGTTGTGTTGTGAATGATTTGATTTGGCTGATGGGAAATGGTTAGAGCGTATTCCTATCCTCGCATCAAGAGAACCTTATATCAACCTCCCACTGAAGATTCCCCTGAACCCAAAACCTCAGTGTAAAAGGTACAATCTTGATGAGGATAGAAATACGCTCTTATTGAATGTTCTTCAGCAGTTTTGCTGAAGGTTTGTGAAGTGCAGTTGAGGAAAATATAGTGGCTTCAGGCACTTATAAATAATGCACAATCGATTGGGGATACAAAGAACGTATATACTCTCTTAATAAATGACTGCTAGATCATGGCCACAAGGCCAGCCATGATTAAAAAATGAACACATTGGTGGGAGGCAGGATCTGGCAACGGCAGTCAACCTTGACCCACAGACCAGAACCTTAGCCCTGACCCTGCTTGTTATTCAACCAGTCGCCGTCAAACCCGACGGCAAAAAAGGGTTTGCGCCCCAGGTTACCGGTCAAGTTGCCGGCTAGCCGTCTTACACGCTCCAGATGGCTTCGGGCTCCGCGGGTGCGCGGAACTTGGGCGTTCCGCATTTCGATCCCAGCACGTCCGCGCGCAGCAGGCGGAGACATCCGCGGGAGGGGACGGGGTTGGAGTGCGAGAAGGGGATCTCGTCCCGCGGAAGGTCCCACGTCACGCTGCGCGCGCGGTGGTGAAAAGCCCGCGGATCCGCTCCGGTGGCGCGCCTCGGAGTGCCGCAGCGCGAACCGAGAAGATCGCATCGCGCCAGCTTCATCAAGCGGGCGGTGCCGGAATCTGAGCAGCTTCTGGGGAACTTCACGGTGGGAGACGGTACTGCGCCGTCAAGACAGGACGGCGAACGCGCCGTCGTTTCGCGCGAAGCGGGACTGGTGCTTGGGAAAAAAATTTCAGCGCTGCGAGCGCAAATTTCAGAGGGAGACGTATATGACTGGGCCGCTGCTGGGCCGTGATAAATTGGCGCTGAGGCCACGGGTTGGCACGTGGCGGAACGGACGGTGGCGGACGGGTGCGGGGAGGAACTGGCGGAAGCGGCGGAAGTTGAGAAAGCGGCGGAAGCGGGGCGGAAGAGGAAACGGGGAGTGCCGCACCGGGAGCCGAGCAGTAGGCGGCGCTGCTCTTGCAGCGATGGCGAGGAATGATGCTCCTCGGGGAAGTCGGAGATACAGTCCGGTGGAGATGGTATGGCGACCGCGAGATGTCGCTCCTCCGCCCACTCACGCAGCCGCGGACAGAGAGCCGTCAGATTCGGGGCGTGGCACGCCATCATCGGACGGTCGGTGTGAGAGGTAGATTAGAGCCGCAATGGGACGAACGGAAAAGCTAGTAAGAAATCGAAGACAGAGAGTGACGGAGGGATGAGATGGCTAGAAAATGCAGGAGAACCTGCCTTTGAATATGGAGGACTGGAGGAGCTCTCCGATCCTTGCACCTGCGGATCGCAAAATCCGAGCTACTATCTGACCAATCGTGGATGGTCCCTTGCTGACCGACTAAGGACCGCCTGCCGCCTTTCCCTAACTCCATGGCCTACCAAATCCGCACAGTAGCGTAGCATGTGATCGCTCGTATGACAGTGCGGCATGGGACCGTTTAGAAACGCGCCACGCCATCGCTGCCAGCGGCATCTTACGTCAGATGCAATCTGGAAATGAGCTTTAGGATCAAAGAGATAGCTAGCGATGGCGTGCGATCTTGTGAAAGTGAGCAGATTTTTGAAAAATCGCTACCCATCCCACCTTGATAATCTTTCTGCCTAGCAAGACAGCGTGGAGCCAGGCGTTCATTTTCCTAAGTGGGATGGTACAGTTCAGTGTGGATTTCTGGTTACTGTGCGAAACCAGCTTCGAAAGATTAGTGGGCCAATCAGTTCCTCAGGGAAACCAGAGGGAGACGAACAATATACACCTGCTCTCCGATATTTTCACACCCTTTATCTTCACGACCCGGGGCACCTACCCTCGAAAGAACCGATTTCGAAGGTAGTTAGCAACGCTCGAAGAATTTTCTGGGTTAATGTAACACAATCTCAATGCGAGTTTAACGCAGGAACAATCTGGCACTGGAATTTTCCCTGCTCATTTTCGTACAAAGTTCGAGTTTCGAAAGGCCTTGACTTGGTGGTATTTCCTAATAGACCCGCAATGTCATGGCGTCCGTCTCATCAAACCTTCAACCATGTAGGGTGTCTGGGAAGAATCAAAGTTCAGGGTGTGGAAATATCGGAGAACAGGTGTAGATAACAACTTCTGTCAACATCGTCACTTGGTAACCAATGAGGGTTCTGCCCACCAGAATGACCTTTGGTGCAATAACGGCGGTTCGCCCATTCCTGGACAGAATTGTGGTTACGTATGTAAAAGCCATCTTGCTGGAGGCTGATGAGAGAGGGAAAATGGTTTTTGACTCAACACACCCGACGCCATGCCCACAGGTCCTCGGGCGGTGGAGAACAATCAGATTCTGCCAGGTACACATGGTCTGCGGTATTCTTACACCCTCCAATTTTACACCTCTGTGTATTCGTTCCTCGTTTGCCCGGAGATTTTGGGCTGTTTCAAACAGTTTGGTTTCAAGGAATTAACGATTCAGACTCCGCACAAGAGTCAGCGGGAAAACAAAAAGCATGGTCGCAGCGGAAGATACAGTCTTTACGTTGCGGTCACAAAGTCACACTTTCACAACATCGACACTTTGCTATGCCACGGATAGTCTCCAGTTCCTTGGTTGTCTGATCCCTAAAGCCAAAAACGGCTCAAATGAGTTTTAAGAAACACTCGACGAGGTGTGAAATTGGCGCGGGCTTGGTGTAGAAGCATGTGATTCTGCTCCCACTGGCACTGCCAACCCTCGAACTTAGACCTGTCAGCCCAGACGATCTTGCCTGTGTCACAGATCCCGCCACTGGAAATGTGAAATTGAATCCCGCCTCGAACCCATTATGTGTTGTCACAGAGATCTTCCCTCTACAAAATCCACTCCGTTAGAAGCATTTTGGACTGTTTTTGCAAAGCTGTGTAGTTCGCTTCACCTGTACAAGCATTCCATGCTAGGTGCTTACCTGGCGTACTAGCTCAATGTCACCAGTAAGAACATTTCCATAGAATAAATAAAGAACGAGCACGCTTATCGTGTGTGCGGCTTAACCATTAAAGAAGCTCCACATGGAACTGGTAGCAAAAAACTTCGTCGGATCGGCAAAACTCAGTCCGGTGTGAATTCTCACCTCCAAAACTCTCTACCGTACCAACAAGGCGATGCACCATAATCAAACCACACAGCTCGCCACACCCCTCGCTACACCACCTAGGACGCAGGAACTTGCACTGGTGACGAACCAGTTACTCCTGGCACAGACCCAGCTGCAGTGCCAGGGAAGACAGCACCAGGGAAGACAGCAGCAGGGCGGGCACTGGCAGAGAGCCGGCGCCTGAGGTTATCCAGTGAGGCAGCAACAGCTTGTGTGTCATGTCTCAGCCTCTGCAGAGTTTCCAACACATCCCCACTGCCCTCCTTGCCCTCCTTGCCGCCCCCAATACTGCTCCTGCTGCTCCTGCCGCCACTGCTGCAAGGTGCAACCCACGTGCCACCCACGCTGCTGTGACTTGGAATTCTACTGCTAGTCGCTCTACTGCTGCTCGTGCTGCTGATCAGGGAATCTGCACCTGGACTGCCTTTCACTGTGGCCAGCCCAGAGGCTGAACAACTTTCTGAAGAGACCAGAGCACTTGCAGCAGCACCGGAGGAAGAGAGGTGGTTCGATGAAGGTTCAGGCACGGGGGTGACTGGATTGCTGCAGGAGGAAAGGCCACCACCACGACTACAATCACTGCCACCACCACTGCTATCACCTGAGCTTGCCTGCATGGGGTGATTGGAGCTCCTCCCTTGGCTCACCAAATCAGCTTCTCGTGGCTTACCGCCCTCCACTGAGTCTGCTTTATCGCCAACGCATGCCACTGCTACTGCTGCTGCTGCTGTTGCTGTTGTTGCTGCATCCGCTGCAGTCGTCTCTTCAGCTGCAGGGCTTGAAATCTCTCCACAGCAAGGAGCATCATCAGCAGCAGGCCCTCTATCCGCCTTGGAAGGTTGAGCTTCAAAAGAACTTGACGCAACACCGGAGCCCTCTGCACTGCAAGGCGCCGAGCTTGCTGCCACTCTGCCAACCTCACCTTCACTAGCCTTCTCGCCTGCACCACCTGCGGCACCTATGCCGCCCGCCTCTCCGCCGCCCGCCTCGCCTCCACTGCTTGCCTTGCCTGCTTCCTCTGCTCGGCCACGGTCTCCCTCAGGCCGCACAGAGCCCTTCCTCAGCACTGACCGGGACCGCTCGAGAACCTTTCGGGCAGCTTCCGTGGCAGCAGCAGCTGCTGCCATGGCGTCAGCAGCAGCTCTGCCTGATTTGGTGGCGCGGAAAGAAGTGGGCTGGTCCCCCGTGGACCCAGAAGCACTACTACTGGGGTATGCGCGTGCAGCAGCAAGGGTTGCACCAGTGAGGGGTGCAGCAGCAAGGGTTGCAGTATCAGCTGAGCCATTTCCGTAAGAGTCACTGCTTGCACTGCTCATCATGCTGCCAGCTCGCTCCATCCCAGCATCTGCTGCTCGACCCCCCTCCGTGTCACCCTCCCTTTCCACGAGTCTGCCGCCCTTCCCCTGGCCATGTGTGTTGCGAGAGGAGAGGTTTACCTCTACTGTTTCATCACCCTGCTCCTCTGCCCTTTTTTCTGTCGTTTTCTCTGCCGTTTTCTCTGCCGTTTGCTCTGCCGTTTGCTCTGCCGTTTGCTCTGCCGTTTGCTCTGCCGTTTGCTCTGCCGTTTGCTCTGCCGTTTGCTCTGCCGTTTGCTCTGTCGTTTGCTCTGCTTGCTTCTTCCTGCCCACTTTCCGTTCCTCTGCTTGTGCATCCTTGTCCTCCTGTGTTCCCCTGCTGCCACTCCAACTGCTGTCCTCCCTCCTGCCTTGGCTCTCACCTTCCACGTCAGCATCATCCACAAGATCTGCCAGCTGCTCCCATATCGAGTCGGCCACATGTTCCGGATTCTCATCAGTGGAACCTGTCTGGTCACTGGATGGCTCCCCACATGTGGCATGCTGAGAGGCAGGCGCAGCTGCAGCATCACTCACACCCCCCTCACTCACACTCCCCTCACTCACACCCGCCTCACTCTTCACATCCCCATGCCTTCCCTTAGCTACATCCGTCCCTTTTCCGTCCTCTTGCTCCCCCTCCCCTTCCCCCTCCCCCTCCGCCTGCTGCTCTTGCGCCTGGTGCCGCTCCTCCTGTTTTCTCCCCTCCTCCTTCTCCTGCTGTGCCTCCTGCTCCGCCTGTGCCTGCTGCTGCACTTTAGCCTGTTCAAAGTCTCGAAGCCACTGCTCCTTCTTCTCCTCCCACTCCCTCTCCAAAGACACCACCCGCGCCTTGGCTTGCTCCCTCAGCTCCTGCAACCGCCCCGCCTCGTTGCCCGCCCAACTCGCCCTGAGAGGAAGGGTGACAGCAAGTGTTTGGGGGGGAAGGAACAGGGGGAAGAGAGAAGGACAGGGCGAAGTCATGAGGTAGAGTAGAACCTGCTTTGTCTTCTCCTCCCCTCTCCCCTTCTTTTCCTCCCCTCTCTCCCTCCCTCTCTCCGCTTACTCTCCTCCCACTCCCTCCCCTTCACCTCCCCCCTCTTTTCCCAGCAACGAAGGTAAAGCCAGCAACCGCATCCGTCCAAACCCTATTTCACACCCAACCAGCACCCAGAATTTCAACCACAAAAAGGTTAGAAGCTTATTCATCCAGGCACATGGCACATACCCTGAAGCAGCTTGCTGGTGAAGGTTCGGAGCACTGCCACGCCCCCCTTGCTGCTGCTGATACTGCTGCTGCTGCTGGTACTGATGCTGCTGCTGCTGCTGCTGCTGCTGCTGATACTGCTGCTGCCCTCCACTGCCCCGGGCAGCCGAAAAAGAGTGCATTGGGGAAGTTCCCGGCACGGAATTCCGGGCAAAAGACGAGTAGCTACTGCTCCGATTGGGTACGTTACGGAAACTACCCGTCGGCGAGAGGTACGAGGCGTACCCCTGAGACGCTCTGAACCCTCCTGCACCCCTCTGCACCCCCATGGGTCTTCCTCCCGCGGGTGCAGAGCAGGGGCAGGGGGGGAGGCGGGTACGCAGGGTATCAAATACGGCTCGCTTGTTGCTCTCTGTCAGTGCTGTGTGCGCCTGGGGGGGGAAGGAGGTGGGGGACAGGAGCGGGAGAGGAAGGGGAGGTAAGGGGAGTGGAGGAAACGGGAGGGGCGAGGCAGGTAAATAGGAGATCGAACACTGCTTGCTCGTTGCTGGGAGCGGGTGAGGGAGGGGCCATGGTGGGTGGCGAGGTAACAGCAGGGAAAGTGGAGGAGTGGGTAGGGAAAAGTAGTGGGAGGGTAGGGAAAAGTAGTTTTGGAGGAAAAGGGGTGGGAAGAGAGAACAGGGTAGGGGGAGGGTGAGAGGAAGGAGGAGAGAAATGCGCTGAGGAGGCGGCCACAGAGGAGGTGCAAAGTCTCGTTGTAAGATTCTCGTTAGAAGACTAACCTCCTTGACATAACGGAACGCTGCTTCCGCCTTCTGCGACCTGTTCTTATCCGGATGCAGCAGAAGCGCTGAAAGGGAGGGCAGAGGAGGAGAAAAGAGGTGAGGGTAGACCGGGAGTCAGGAGGGGAATCAACGATCAGACCCACGGTTCTCATCAGACATTCCTACAGAACTACGGTTCCAGTATTGATTCCTCCTTGGTATGTCAGAGCCTCACCCGCACTCACAGTCCCTGGAGCGCAGCAACAGAAGAAAACGCAGCCACAGTGAGGCCCAACGTGCGAGCCAGTGCGAGTGGGCTGCGGGGAGCGCACCTAGTTGTCGGTACCGCTTCTTGATTCCGCCTCAGCCTCACTCACACAGTCCCTAGAATGCAGTAACAGTGAGGCCCGGCGTGCGAGTGGTGCGAGCAGGCTGCGGGGAACGCACCTAGCTGTCGGTACCGCTTCTTAATTCCGGCTTCGTCCGTCCGCGCATCCACCTGAGGGACAGATAACGCGAGCAGCGACCATGCCAAAGAGGTTCAGGAAGGCCCAAGGAGGTGCAGGGGAGAAATGCAAAGCAAACGCTGTTCTTAAGGCGTCTCGAAATGCGAGCAGCGCTCGTAAGCACCCTCGTGCGGTCAAGATCCCGAGCCTAATGGCGTGCTTCGACGGATGTAACCGCCGAGCGAAATCAACGAGCGATATCGACGAGCGAAATCGACGGGCGAAGTCGACGGGCGAAATTGACGGGCGAAATCGACGAGCAAAATCGACGAGCGAAATCGACGAACGCAATCCGCGATCGTATGTGACGAATGTAACCGACGAGCGAACGCGCATACCTGGAGCACCCCGAACCAATCCACGTAATCCTTGGGAAGCGGACCAATGGGACGGCGACACCTCGGACACTCCGGCGTGTAGCCGACAGCGGCGAGAACCTGAGCCACGGCGAGCAGCTCAGCCAATCCCTTGGCGCCAGGTGTCGTCCGCTCGAGCTTCACGAGTAGCGCGAGTGCGTTGTCTGCACGGGATTGTACTAGTAACGATTCTGCTTGTACGAGGACAGCCGCGGCTGCCTCCTGCTCACGTCGAGAGGCCATTTGCGAAAGATACGAGTTAGCACCGCTACTGACGTCGGGTGCGGACGGATATCGAATTATGATCCTAGCGCTGCTACTGACGCTGGTCGTAACGGTGACCGTAAGGCTGGTAGTAACGCCGTAAGACACGCTGCTTGCAACGAGAGGACTACAGCAAGAGGAATGGCTAACAGAACGCACTGCAATGGTAGACTCACAACACAACACAACGAGCGATTTGGACTGACCTGACAAACAGCCGTGAAAAAGTAGCGACAGAGGATACGCGCTATTGCATGCAACACTTTTGACAGCTTCACCGTGACGCGAGGCTCGGCGGAAATGAAACCACCTCCAGGCTCAGCCACCTGCCTGCCAAGCCATCAAAGTATCGACACCCGAACCGAGCCGTCGGCTTGGAGGGTTCCGGAGGTGAGGTGAGCGAGAGCGGTGAGGGAAAGCAGGGGGTTCGGCGATGCCGAGGCAAACCTGACACTCTGGCAAAGTGATGCGGGAAAGTGGGTGAAACTGGCACATTTCGTTATGAACTAGAAAATCGTGAAAATGAGAATTATCACACCCGCTATAATGGATTTTAATTAGACATGGATCACGGGTAGCTTGGATAAAATATAGACTACAATATGGGCTATCGAAATGATTGCACTCCTTTCCACATTCACAACTTTCCTGGTTGTGAGATTTCAAGCACGTGATGTAGGAACTAGCATGACGAACTTACGTGGCGAAACAGTTAGCATCGAGTACATTTGAAGCCAATATAAACTCTGAATCCTATGCATTTGAGCATTTGAGCCAATCATCATTTCAACGGTGTTGCTCATTCCCACCCTAACACTCTTCGTCGTCCCTTCACAAGTATATTGAACCAACAAACTCTGGCTCATCATACCATAACTACCAAACCCACCCAGCCTTATTCCACCCTACAGTATCCAACCAACTGTACCTGATCCCATCCTACACTACACAACCCGCCCTGCCTCATTCCACCCTACAAAAACGAACTCACTTTGCCCCATCCAACTCTACCCAATTCTGCCTACCCAATTCTGCCTCATCCCACCCAAACCTACCGACCAACCCACTCTGCCTCATCCCACCCGAACCTACCCAAACCAACACGCTCATACACTGCACCGCCCGCTCACTCATACACTGAACCGCCCCCTCATACGCTGCACCAACCGCTCATACGCTGCACCGGCCGCTCATAAGCTGCACCGCCTGCTCATACGCTGCACCGCCCGCTCATACGCTGCACCGCACGCTCATATGCTGCACCGCACGCTCATGCGCTGCACCGCACGCTCATACGCTGCACCGCACACTCATGCGCTGCAACGCACGCTCATACGCTGCACCGCCCGCTCATACGCTGCACCGCCCGCTCATACGCTGCACCGCCCGCTCATACGCTGCATCGCCCGCTCATACGCTGCACCAACCGCTCATACGCTGCACCACCCGCTCATAAGCTGCACCGCCTGCTCATACGCTGCACCGCACCCTCATACGCTGCACCGCACCCTCATACGCTGCACCGCACCCTCATACGCTGCAACGCACGCTCATACGCTGCAAAGCACGCTCATATGCTGCACCGCCCACTCATACGCTGCAACGCCCGCTGATACGCTGCAATGCACGCTCATACGCTGCACCGCCCGCTCATACGCTGCACCGCCCGCTCATACGCTGCACCGCCCGCTCATACGCTGCAACGCACACTCATACGCTGCACCGCCCGCTCATACGCTGCACCAACCGCTCATACGCTGCACCACCCGCTCATAAGCTGCACAGCCTGCTCATATGCTGCACCGCACCCTCATACGCTGCACCGCACCCTCATACGCTGCACCGCACCCTCATACGCTGCACCGCACCCTCATACGCTGCACCGCACCCTCATACGCTGCACCGCACCCTCATACGCTGCACCGCACCCTCATACGCTGCACCACAGCCTCATACGCTGCAACGCACGCTCATACGCTGCAACGCATGCTCATACGCCGCACCGCCCGCTCATACGCTGCACCGCACGCTCATACACTGCAACGCACGCTCATACGCTGCACCACACCCTCATACACTGCACCGCACGCTCATACGCTGCAACGCACGCTCATACGCTGCAACGCATGCTCATACGCCGCACCGCCCGCTCATACGCTGCACCGCACGCTCATACACTGCAACGCACGCTCATACGCTGCACCACACCCTCATACACTGCAACGCACGCTCATACGCTGCAACGCATGCTCATACGCCGCACCGCCCGCTCATACGCTGCACCGCACGCTCATACACTGCACCGCACGCTCATACGCTGCACCGCTCGCTCATACGCTGCACCGTACGCTCATACGCTGCACCGCTCGCTCATACGCTGCACTGCACGCTCGTACGCTGCACCGCACGCTCATGCACCGCACGCATATAGATTGCACTGCAAGCTCGGCTACGAGGTCAGTAGCTCGGCTATGAGGTCAGTAGCTCGGCTACGAGGTCAGTAGCTCGGCTACGAGGTCAGTAGCTCGGCTACAAGGTCAGCAGCTCGGCTACGAGGTCAGTAGCTCGGCTACGAGGTCAGTAGCTCGGCTACGAGGTCAGTAGCTCGGCTACGAGGTCAGTAGCTCGGCTATGAGGTCAGTAGCTCGGCTACGAGGTCAGTAGCTCGGCTACGAGGTCAGTAGCTCGGCTATGAGGTCAGTAGCTCGGCTACGAGGTCAGTAGCTCGGCTACGAGGTCAGTAGCTCGGATATGAGGTCAGTAGCTCGGCTACGAGGTCAGTAGCTCGGCTACGCTCATACAGCGCAGCGCAGTTCTCCTCGCAGTGCAGCGCAGCACAGCTCTCCTCGCAGGCATCTTACCAGAGCAAAGTCAGCGCAGTGTAGGTGCAGTCAGCGCAGTGCTCCTCGCAGCCCAGTGCAAAGTCTCCTCCCTCCCGTTTCCCTTGCCTTCCCTCCATCTGTGAATTTGGGAATTCGGAAATTTGGAGATTCAGGGGGTTTGCATGCACTCTCTTCAACCTGAGCAAAGTACTGGATCTGGGAGAGAAGGCGCCTAAAGGGAGGGGACGCAAGAAATGAGCATAGAACGAAAACCAAGGCCATAGCACGTGACACATACAGTGCAGGAAACAACTTGCACACAGAAGGAGAAACGCCAGTCATGGACATTGAAAGCAAAGAGGTTGTTAATACAAGCGAAGGTGTAACAAGCGGAACAAGTGGAGAGACATGGATGACCGGGAAAAGAAGCGACGAGCAGCAAGCAGGGAGACTTACGTTACATTGACTTGGATGGCCTGTAGTTCAACCTCTCGCCTCTTCTCAGTCCCTGCTGTCATTGCATTGACAATCATTCCCAGGTGCTGTAATAGGAGCAGAAGAGAGGAGGACAGCAGAAGAGAGAAGGGCAGGAGAAGAGAGGAGGAAAGCAGAAGAGAGAAGGGCAGCAGAAGAGAGGAGGAAACCAGAAGAGAGAAGGACAGCAGAAGAAAGGAGGACAGCAGAAGAGAGGAGGAAAGCAGAAGAGAGAAGGGCAGCAGAAGAACAGAGGGCAGCAGAAACGAGGGGCGCAGCAGAAGAGAGGAGCGCAGCAAAGGTCAGGTCTGACGTCAGGTTTGAGGTCAGGTTTAAGGTCAGGTTTGAGGTCTGGTTTGCGGTCTGGTTTGCGGTCTGGTTTGACGTAAAGTTTGAGGTCAGGTTTGAGGTCAGGTTTGACGTCAGGTTTCACGTCAGGTTTGAGGTCAGGTTTGAGGTCATGTTTGATGTCAGGTTTGAGGTCAGGTTTAACGTCAGGTTTGACGTCAGGTTCGAGGTCAGGTTTGAGGTGAGGTTTGATGTCAGGTTTGAGGTCAGGTTTGAGGTCAGGTTTGACGCCAGGTTTGAGGTCAGGTTTGAGGTAAGTTTGAGGTCGGGTTTGACGTCAGGTTTGACGTCAGGGGTTTGACGTCAGGTTTGAGGTCAGGTTTGATATCAGGTTTGAGGTCAGGTTTGAGGTCAGGTTTGACGTCAGGTTTGATATCAGGTTTGAGGTCAGGTTTGAGGTCAGGTTTGACGTTAGGTTTGAGGTCAGGTTTGAGGTCAGGTTAAACGTTAGGTTTGAGGTCAAGTTTGAGGTCAGGTTTGAGGTCAGGTTTGACGTCAGGTTTGATGTCAGGTTTTAGGTCAGGTTTGACGTCAGGTTTGACGTAAGGTCTGAGGTCAGGTTCGTCGTCAGGTTCGATGTTAGGTTTGACGTCAGGTTTGCTATCAGGTTTGAGGTCTGGTTTGACGTCAGGTTTGACTCCAGGTTTGCTATCAGGTTTGAGGTCAGATTTGACGTCAGGTTTGATATCAGGTTTGAGGTCAGGTTTGAGGTCAGGTTTGACGTTAGGTTTGAGGTCAGGTTTGAGGTCAGGTTTGACGTTAGGTTTGAGGTCAGGTTTGAGGTCTGGTTTGACGTCAGGTTTGAGGTAAGGTTTAAGGTGAGGTTTGACGTCAGGTTTGACGTCAGGTTTGATGTCAGGTTTGAGCTAAGGTTTGAGGTCAGGTTTGAGGTAAGGTTTGCGGTCAGGTTTGAGGTAAGGTTTGAGGTCAGGTTTGAGGTCAGGTTTGAACTCAGGTTTGAGGTAAGGTTTGAGGTCAGGTTTGATGTCAGGTTTGACGTCAGGTTTAAGGTGAGGCTTGACGTCAGGTTTGAGGTCAGGTTTGAGGTCAGGTTTGAGGTCAGGTTTGAGGTCAGGTTTGAGGTCAGGTTTGACGTCAGGTTTGACGTCAGGTTCGACGTCAGGTTTGACATCAGGTTTGAGGTCAGGTTGAGGTCAGGTTTGAGGTCATGTTTGAGGTCAGGTTTAAGGTCAGGTTCGAGGTCTGGTTTGACGTCAGGTTTGATGTCAGGTTTGACGTCAGGTTTGACATCAGGTTTGAGGTCAGGTTTGATGCCAGCTTTGACGTCAGGTTTAAGCTCAGGTTAAAGGTCAGGTTTGAGTCAGGGTTGACGCCAGGTTTTACGTCAGGTTTGTCGTCAGGTTTGAGGTCAGGTTTGAGTTCAGGTTTGAGGTCAGGTTTGAGGTCAGGTTTGACGCCAGGTTTGAGGTCAAGTTTGAGGTCAGGTTTGAGGTCAGGTTTGAGGTAAGGTTTGCGGTCAGGTTTGAGGTAAGGTTTGAGGTCAGGTTTGAGGTCAGGTTTGATGTCAGGTTTGACGACAGGTTTGAGGTGAGGCTTGACGTCAGGTTTGAAATCAGGTTTGAGGTCAGGTTTGAGGTCAGGTTTGAGGTCAGGTTTGAGGTCAGGTTTGAGGTAAGTTTGAGGTCGGGTTTGACGTCAGGTTTCAGGTCAGGTTTAGTATCAGGTGTGAGGTCAGGTTTGAGGTCAGGTTCGACGTCAGGTTTGATATCAGGTTTGAGGTCAGGTTTGAGGTCAGGGTTGACGTTAGGTTTGAGGTCAGGTTTGAGGTCAGGTTTGACGTTAGGTTTGAGGTCAAGTTTGAGGTCAGGTTTGAGGTCAGGTTTGAGGTCAGGTTTGAGGTCAGGTTGAAGGTCAGGTTTGAGCTCAGGTTTGATGTCAAGTTTGACGTCAGGTTTGACGTCAGGTTCGTCGTCAGGTTCGACGTCAGGTTTGACATCAGGTTTGAGGTCAGGTTTGACTTCAGGTTTGATATCAGGTTTGAGGTCAGGTTTGAGGTCAGATTTGACGTCAGGTTTGATATCAGGTTTGACGTCAGGTTTGAGGTCAGGTTTGACGTTAGGTTTGAGGTCAGGTTTGAGGTCAGGTTTGAGGTCAGGTTTGACGTTAGGTTTGAGGTCAGGTTTGAGGTCTGGTTTGACGTCAGGTTTGAGGTAAGGTTTGAGGTGAGGTTTGACGTCACGTTTGACGTCAGGTTTGATGTCAGGTTTTAGGTCAGGTTTGAAGTCAGTTTCGTCGTCAGTTTCGACGTCAGGTTTAACGTCAGGTTTGAGGTCAGGTTTGAGGGTAGGTTTGAGGTCAGGTTTGACGTCAGGTTTGAGGTCAGGTTTGAGGTAAGGTTTGAGGTCAGGTTTGAGGTAAGGTTTGCCGTCAGGTATGAGGTAAGGTTTGAGGTCAGGTTTGATGTCAGGTTTGACGTCAGGTTTAAGGTGAGGCTTGACGTCAGGTTTGAAGTCAGGTTTGAGGTCAGGTTGAAGGTCTGGTTTGAGGTCAGGTTTGAGGTCAGGTGTAAGGTCAGGTTTGAGGTCTGGTTTGACTTCAGGTTTTGACGTCAGGTTTGATGTCAGGTTTGACATCAGGTTTGAGGTCAGGTTTGATGTCAGGTTTGACGTCAGGTTTGACGTCAGGTTTGAGGTCAGGTTTGAGGTCAGGTTTGAGGTCAGGTTTGAGGTCAGGTTTGATGTCAGGTTTGACGTCAGGTTTGACGTCAGGTTTGAGGTCAGGTTTGACGTCAGGTTTGAGGTGAGGTTTGAGGTCAGGTTTGAGGTCAGGTTTGAGGTCAGGTTTGAGGTCAGGTTTGAAGTCAGGTTTGAGGTCAGGTTTGAGGTCAGGTTTGACGTCAGGTTTGACGTCAGGTTTGACGTCAGGTTTGAGGTCAGGTTTGAGGTCAGGTTTGAAGTCAGGTTTGAGGTCAGGTTTGAGGTCAGGTTTGAGGTCAGGTTGGAGGTCAGGTTGGAGGTCAGGTTTGACGTCAGGTTTGACGTCAGGTTTGACATCAGGTTTGAGGTCAGGTTTGAAGTCAGGTTTGAGGTCAGGTTTGAGGTCAGGTTTGAGGTCAGGTTTGAGGTCTGGTTTAACGTCAGGTTTGACGTCAGGTTTGACGTCAGGTTTGAGGTCAAGATTGACGTCAGGTTTGACGTCAGATTTGACGTCAGGTTTGATGTCAGGTTTGACGTCAGGTTTGAGGTCTGGTTTGAGGTCAGGTTTGACATCAGGTTTGAGGTCAAGTTTGAGGTCAGGTTGGAGGTAAGGTTTGACGTCAGATTTTAGGTTAGGTTGTCAGAATGTTATGCTCTAGCCTGTAGTGGGGTGCTCTATAGCGAATACAACTTTTCTAGGGTTTGCTATTTGTATCTTCATTTTTGCTAGTGCAGTCCTCTTCTTTGTTCTAAACTTTAACATGCTATCAGAGCAGGTCGATCCCCTTGGATCGATCCTGTGGGTAGGCTCACCACCTCGTTGCTTCCACTGCAACTCCACCTACTACTCTCTGTGCCGCACGCCCCGTGGCGTGCGGCAGTTTTTTCTTCCCACCGTGCGCGCGGAGGCGCGCGGCGGTTTTCTGCCCGCCGTGCGCCCCGAGGCGCGCGGCGGCTCTCTGCCCGCTGTGCGCCCCGAGGCGCGCGGCGGGCTTCTGCCCCGTCGTTCGACGCATCGCCCTCGGGAGGCGCCGCGACGGGCGACGGGGACCCGCGCGTCGCCCCCTGTCGCCCGTCGTGGCCTGCGCGCGGCCCGTACTGGCAGCGCGCGGCCCGTACGGGCTGCGCCAGGCCCGCGCGCGGCCAGTACGGGCTGCGCCAGACCCGCGCGCGGCCCGTACGGGCTGCGCCAGGCCCGCGCACGGCCCGTACGGGCGGCGCCAGGCCCGCGCGCGACTCGGGCCGCCTGCGCGCGGCTCGGGCGACTGTACCAGGCCCGTGGTGGGCCCGTTCCTTGCTGCCCCTGCCCTCCCCGCTGTCCCCCGGTGCTTCTACTAGCGCCCCACCCCTCCTACTCCCCATTCTCCTGAATTAGGGTTTGGGGGTGAGGGGTATCGGGGTGAACCCACTATGTGCCGTTCCCAGCTCCTCCTCCTCCGTCTCCCTGTGCTGCAGCTGCCGCTGAGGGGGGGTGGACTTGTTGGAGCCGTTGGAGTGGTACTAAAGGGGGGGTGAAGGGGGAGTGGAGCTAAGGGTGAAGCAACGGATGTGTGTCAGGGGGGTGGGACTGTTTGGGGAGGCTGAGAGGAGGCTGTCGTCTTGTCGTCCACAGCACCTGTAGTCCGGGGCGCTGTCCTGGTAGCCCAGAGAGCCTGCTGCGCCTGTCGCCCGTGGGTCCGTTGCTTCTGTAGCTCTTCGTAGCCCGTGAGCCAGTTACTCCAGTAGTCTGGGGCGCTGTCCCGGTAGCCACTGTGCCAGCCGCTCTTATTGCCCGTCTGGCTGCAGTTTCAGCCGTCGTGTCTCATCTTCTCTCCTCTCATAGTCTCTCCTCCTCCTCGCTTGCCTGCTGTGACTACCACTAGCTTTGCTCATAATTGTGAACTTTAAACTATTGCTTCTTGAACTTGTGCTCAGAATGTGTGGTGACATTGTGATCCACCCTGAGCTTGTTCTGCTTTGCTTGCTCTCCTGATTACACCCCACTTTGGCTATGGGGGTGTGTCAGAATGTTATGCTCTAGCCTGTAGTGGGGTGCTTTATAGCGAATACAACCCTTCTAGGGTTTGTTATTTGTATCCTCATTCTTGCTAGTGCAGCCCTCTTCTTTCTTCTAAACTTTAACACAGGTTTGAGGTCAGGTTTGAGGTCAGGTTTGAGGTAAGGTTTGAGGTCAGGTTTGAGGTCAGGTTTGAGGTCAGGTTTGAGGTCTGGTTTGATGTCTGGTTTGACGTCTGGTTTGACGTCAGGTTTGAGGTCAGGTTTGAGGTCAGGTTTGAGGTCAGGTTTGAGGTCAGGTTTGACGTCAGGTTTGACGTCAGGTTTGAGGTCAGGTTTGACGTCAGGTTTGAAGTCAGGTTTGACGTCAGATTTGAGGTCAGGTTTGAGGTCAGGTTTGAGGTAAGTTTTGCGGTCAGGTTTGACGTCAGGTTTGAGGTCAGGTTTGATGTCAGGTTTGACGTCAGGTTTGAGGTGAGGCTTGACGTGAGGTTTGAGGTCAGGTTTGAGGTCAGGTTTGAGGTCAGGTTTGAGGTCAGGTTTGAGGTCAGGATTGAGGTCAGGTTTGAGGTCAGGTTTGAGGTCTGGCTTGACATCAGGTTTGACGTCAGGTTTGACGTCAGGTTTGATGTCAGGTTTGACGTCAGGTTTGATGTCAGGTTTGAGGTCAGGTTTGACGTCAGGTTTGAAGTCAGGTTTGAGGTCAGGTTTGAGGTCAGGTTTGAGGTCAGGTTTGAGGTCAGGTTTGAAGTCAGGTTTGAGGTAAGGTTTGAGGTCAGGTTTGAGGTCAGGTTTGATGTCAGGTTTGACGTCAGGTTTGAGGTCAGGTTTGAGGTCAGGTTTGAAGTCAGGTTTGAGGTCAGGTTTGATGTCAGGTTTGACGTCAGGTTTGAGGTGAGGCTTGACGTCAGGTTTGAGTTGAGGCTTGACGTCAGGTTTGAGGTCAGGTTTGAGGTCTGGTTTGAGGTTTGGTTTGAGGTCAGGTTTGAGGTCAGGGGCTAGAGAAAGCATGAGACCACCAAAACAGGGGCTAGAGAAAGGATGTGCCCAAAAGAGCGGGTTGGAAACAGAGTGACCTCATGTTGACGCTTCCGCTCAACCGTAGACTTGTAGTTGCTCTCTCCATTACTGTCCGTCACACCTGAAGGCGAAGCGCAAGACCATTGAAAGAAAAGATCAGCAAGAGCAAGAGAAGATAGAGCAGGAGAAACATAGGTGGGAAACTATTATGGTGGCGAAAGGGGCAAGTACATATGCGAAGGTGGTGAAAGAGGAAGAAGTGAAAAGCAGCAAGTTCAAGTGGCACAGATGCTCAAGCAAAAGCGAAAAACTGCAAGCAAGACTTACGGTTAGACGTCATCCCTCTAGAGCCTGTAGTCCCTCCCTGGCCTCCTGAGGAGTCATCTCCACTACTGCTGTCGCTGCTGTTGCTGGAAAACGATGAGTGCATGGGAAAGGGCGACAAGGGCATGAGGAAGAGCGAAGGGTTTGGGGTTCAGGGCTTAGGATCAATTTCAACAAGCGAAGTTGGAGCATGAGGAGCAAGGGCTTGGGTCAAACGCTTGTGCGACAAAATAACAGGGAATAGCAAGCGGAGAGCCTCACATCGCAGGTGAATTGCCTTGACCTGAAGTCCCGGCTGCCTCTCTTCTCTTGCGTTGCCTCTGCTCCTTGGCTGCTCCCAGAAGAGAAGAGGGCGGCAGAAGGGACGAGGGCAGCAAAAGTTGAAAGACGAGTAGAGTGTGTAAGGAAGCGGAAGAGTGGACGTGGCGCGATGATGGCAGCAGGAAGATGGAGAGAAAAAATGGCAAGATTGGAAGGAAATGGGTGCAGGAGAAGGGGGCGCGGCGGGCACTCACCACAATGAGACGGCTCACAAATGCTTGTATTCCATTGAGAGTTGCTCCCATGCTTGCCTCCTGAAATGAGATAAGGTGGACGAAAAAAACGGAGTAAGTATCCTCGAAAAAACAAGGGAAAGCGAATGGGACCAAAAGAACGTAACAGCATCTTGCATTGCAAGCCAGGAGCAGAGACACGGAGTTCATACCACAAGATGCTCAGTTGCTGTTGTACCTTTCTGTTACCACCACTGAAGCACCACAGCCTCCGATCGCTCTCCTGCCTTTGCTCACTTCGATTGCCTTTTCTCTCTTAGGTTGCAGCTGCCCCCTTCAGCTACTGGGAGGAGAGGGCTGTCCAGGCGGGCCCGCACCGCACTCCTTAGGCCTGCGACAAGGAAATGGGTTACTGGACACGGGAGGGGGGGGAAGCAAAGGTGTGGAAGAGGCAGCGAGAGAGGCAGCAAGGAAAGGCGAATGAGTGACTGCAAAACGCGACGCACGAGAGGCAAGAGGCTGCAAGGAGGGACGAATGAGTGCGTGTGGAATACCGCCCTTGGATTGTTGCCCACTCTTGGGGTATCCACCTTGAAGCTGGTGCTGGTGGTGTGTTGGCATGGCAGCGCCACTCGGATGGTGGAATTGTAGGAGCAGTGGCGCGGGAGGGTGTGGTGGCAGCCGCAGCAGCACTTACAGCTTACCTATTACCGGCTGCTGTCTGTCTGTCACCTGGGGAGGTCCCCTTGGGAGGGCTGCTGCAGCTGGAGTAGAGGAACGAGTGGCGAGGAGAGGAGGACAACGGGAGAGTGGAGAAGGCGGGTGCAAGGCGCTGCTCCTCCCATCGTGATCCCCCCAGCAGCAGAGGACTCCCATCGGCGGCACTCCCAGCAGCAGCTCGTATGGCGTGTAGAGTGGAGGAGGCACTGGAGAATGCAGCGCCAGTCGAGCTCGTTTGGCACGTGAGGGAGTGGCGAGGTCAGCAGGGCATGCAGGATGCACGCCGAGCGTCATCCCACTGCCCTCCCTCCGCTTTGACCCTGGGACAAGGAAATGGGGGTGGGAGAGAAGGCAGAGGGGAAGGAGAATAAGAATCTGGTCCAGTAGGAGCAAGCATTGGAATGAAGGCAGAAACAAGTATGAAAACGAGAATTCCTTCAGCGAAAAATGCAGAAGAACAACTAACAAGCTGAACACACGAAAGGCAATGGTAGCACAAGGCACTAGGGCAGCGAGCTAGTATGCGAGGGTGGACTGGGGTAAGAGAGAGACGCGAGCATGTGTATGAATGGATTCTATTCTATCCCCCTACAACTCTAGTGTGAGCTCAAGCCGCCCCGGTGCCATGTGCTACCATCGCCACGCGGAATTGACGTTTTGATTCGAGCATGCGCCGAGAAAGCAAAGCGACAAGAAAATGAACCAAAGACAGAAAGCAATACGAGGGGTGAGTAAGGAGAGCGAGTAAGGGGGCAGGAAGGGACTTAGCTGCACATGATGCATCGCCTCCGCCTCCGCGTCTGCCTCCGCCTCCTCCTCCGCCTCCTCCTCCTCCTCCTCCTCCTCCTCCTCCGCCTCCAGCTTCTGCGCTCATCATGTTCCACCAATCGCCTCGGCCTTCGCCTTCCCGCCAACAAGCGCCATCGTCAGCGTCAGCGCCGTCGTCAGCGTCAGCGCTGTCGTCAGCGTCAGCGCCAACTCGCGACCTTCGAAACCCTCCGTCGCGATCGTCAGCATCAACGCCATACGACGGCGACTGGATCGTCAGCATCAACGCCATACGACGGCGACTGGATCGTCAGCATCAACGCCATACGACGGCGAGTGGATCGTCAGCATCAACGCCATGCGACGGCGACTGGACCGTCAGCATCAACGCCATACGACGGCGACTGGATCGTCAGCATCAACTCCATACGACAGCGACTGGATCGTCAGCATCAACGCCATACGACGGCGACTGGATCGTCTGAAAAAGATCGTAACTCGCCGTCAGAAGATCGTCACGGGGTCAGCGGCCGCCAATCGCCAACTCCCGGTCTTATCGCCGCCATCAAAAGACGCCAACATCGCCGTACCAAGTCCTCGCCGCGATCGCCATCGTCACCACTCAATCAACTTCGCTTTTCCGCTTCTCTGCTTCTCTGCTCGAGCGCTCGCCTTCGCCTTCGCCTTCACTGCCTCGATCGTCAACCGTAAAAGTTTAAGAACTTCATCAGGAGGCGCCGTCTCAACCTCGATCATCGATGAGTCATCTCCGCAACTTCCGTCCCAATGATCGTCAACTCCAAAAACTCCCATTCGTCTCAGAAAACGTCAATCGTCACGGTCAGAAGATCGTCACTGGCAGAAGATCAGTAGCAGAATTCTCAAAGGTCCCACTTGTCAACATGAGAAGACGTCAATCGTCGCCGTACGAGCACCTCATCACAATTTTCACCGTCAGAAATCGCCGTCTCGATCGTTGCCGTCAGCACTCCTCGTTTCAATCTTCACCGTCAAAAAATGCCGTCTCGTTCCATCAGTACTCCTCGTTTCAATAATCACCGTCTCGTTCCGTCAGTATTCCTCGTTTCAATAATCACCTTCAAAATTCGCCGATTGTCCTCAACCGCTTCCCTTGTCTAGATAATCGTAATCAAGAATCGCCGTCTCGATCACCCCTTCCAAGGAAACCGTCCCGATCGTCACACTCAGGAAACAAAATTTCTACTCCTAAACGTAGAAATCGTTATCGCTGCCTACGTGTAATCTAGACGGCGTTTTTGTCTCAGTCTGAAACACGACGTGCAAGTGAACGGCGTTACGAACGTCGCCAAGCCTTAGGAACCGTCTCCGACTACCGTCAACGGTAAGTTCTTACTGGTATTTGACAAAGAGGCCGAATCAATGCTACGGTAAACTATCAGGATTGGACGAGAGAAGTTTGCTAGTGCTATAATCGAGCTTCTCTTAATGTCTAGTAGCGTAGCCAAAAAAGTATACAGACTATGATTGCGCTTGCGAGACAGCTATCGGTCTGTGATAGTAGGGGAAGACGACAGCCATGGATTGCTAACGAAGTGAGCCGAGCCGTGAAGAATCCCACATCAGAGACCGTGAAACTCGAACAAAGATACTCCGAACATGGATAGGAGCACAAACTACTAAGAATCAAACCGCGACTAAGGTTAGGGCCAAATCATTGTTTGGTAAGGATGGAACTTCTGGCGACAGCCATAGATTACAGGGAACCGAACGAGGAGTCTGAGAGAGTTGCGGTAGGAATGGCGTTCAGGAAAGCTCGAAAGTGAAAATCAGGAAAATCACGAAGCGGTGGTGTAAGAGAGGGGTTCAGTTGAAGAATTCCGGTATTCCAGGGCGATCCGGAGTGGTGAAGGGAGATTTACATGGACGTGGGAGAGATGCGACGGAAGTCAGGAACCATCTTTCCGAAGGAAAGCCACTTGCCGTCGTAGTGTCGGCAAACAGCCTCAGAGAGTTTCGTGAGCCGATCAATTTGGCCTTTCGCTTGGGGAAGGGTGGTTCGCGAGAACTGCGACTAGGTTTCGTGAGCAAAGTCACGAAACATCCGCAGCGCATGAGTCTCGCAGTTGAAAGAGTTTGCGCGGGAAACAGCCACATGTCCCTGTCAGACGCTCAGGTGATGGCCCGCCCGCTGGTTGAGCGCAAGTTTCAGGGATTATAATGTGCATAACATGACTGTATTTATGAGAGTATACTTTCAGTAAATACAATTACCAATATGGTTGTTAGGAAATTCAACCTACCCTTTCAGCATGCACCACCTTAATTAGCCAGGACACCTGTCACCTTCATACATGGTAAGACATAGCATTGTAAAATATTCTGTAATTTATGTGGTGAAAGAGGATGCTCTATATGGACCCTAGCTCTTCTTACGATTGCTTGAGAAACCTGAGAGCTCTGATCCCTACCCAGCATACTCTGCTTTCTACTAACTGATGCCGATGCTCCCGACCACAGCAATACCGCCAGCAAGCATCACAACAAGCAGCAACGCCAGTCACCTCGCTGAAAGCAGCACCTGTACGACAGAAGGTGGGTGGCAGAGCAGCTACCATCCCAACCACACTGTCGTCCATCCACCCAGGTGCTACTCCACAAATCTCCTGCATTTTCTATTCCACCATTCTCCACCCCTGCGATTTGTGTGCTTCATCATTGGCGCTTTCTCAAACTTGCTCAATCCATCATCCGTCTGCTCGCCCCCGCATCAATCCACCACCCTCACAACAACCTCCCACCTGACCATCCAACCCCCTCTACCTCTCACCTCCACCACCCAGTCTCCACCAGTACCCACCACCTCCCACCTGACCATCCCACTCCCCCACTCACCCACCTTAGCACACTCACCACAATACACTTTCATGCATCCGGTGGCATCAATGCCATACAGCTCATCATGTGCCACCAACCAAGCATAAGAATCATGCTCTCATGCAACAGGTGCCATCAATGCCATACGGCTCATCATGTGCTACCAACCAAGCATGAGCATCATGCTCTCATGCAACAGGTGGCATCAGTGCCATACGGCTCATCATGTGCCACCAACCAACCATCATGCTCACCCACCCAAGGGGACTCAGCCCCTTTCATTTCGACTCACCCACCCAAGGGGACTCAGCCCCTTACACTTGCACTCACCCACCCAAGGGGACTCAGCCCCGTTCACTTGCACTCACCCACCAAAGGGGACTCAGCCCCTTTCACTTCCACTCACCCACCCAAGGGGACTCGGCCCCTTTCACTTGCACTCACCCACCCAAGGGAACTCGGCCCCTTTCACTTGCACTCACCCACCCAAGGGGACTCAGCCCCTTTCACTTGCACTCACCCACCCAAGGGGACTCAGCCCCTTTCCCTTCCACTCACCCACCCAAGGGGTTTCAGGCCCCTTTCCCCCCACCCAGCCCGTCCCCACACTCACCGGCCAGCTGTAGGAGCAGCAGACAGCCCACTTCCTCAAGGAAACAGCACCCGCAGGGGCTGTGCCTTGTGGAAAGAGGTGTGGCAGTGGAAAATCGCTTCCAGCCCAAGACTCAAATCCCACCCCTGACGTAGCTAGAGCTGACGCGAACCAGAGACGCCGGCCGGTCGGCTCTGACGGTGTCCATTAAGCCTTGAACGCCAGATTGGGAACCTGAGCACCGAGTGCCGTGCCGCGGAGTTTCCACCCACCCAACCACCCCACACTTCAACCCCATGCCTCCTTACCTGTACCTACCAGAGCCATGCAGAGCACCATGATGCAGTCTGCTGGGAAGGAGGGAGAGGAGGGGACAGGTGGATTTTTAGGAGGGCGGGACTCCACTATGGTCCTGGAAGGGTGCTGCTGGGAGGGAAGGGAAAAGGGAGGAGAGGAGGAGGTGAGTGAGAAGGGTGGACTCCACTCCACAGCCCTTGCTCCAGTGCTCCCACCCTCAGCCTGCAGGAGGGAGGGGGGCAAGAGAGAGGAGGGAATCAGATAACTATACCTCACCTTTTCACATACCTTACCTGTTACCATACCTCACCTCTTACCGTACCTCACCTAGCCTAGCCTGCCCTCTAGCCCCCCAGCCCCCACTGCTGCTACTGCTGCTGCCGCGGCCGCTTCTGCGGCTGCCCCTGCTGCTGTCGGTCTGCTACTCTGCTTCCTGCTACTCTGCTTCCTCTGCTGCAATCTTCTCTTGATGCCAGCTGGCCTGGTAGCGGGCAGGAAAGGGGAAGGGGGGGAGAGGAGAGGAAGGAAAGGAGGAGCTGGTGAGTTGGCATGTACAGAAACACTCAAGTGAACAAAAGAAAACAATCAAGTGAACATAAGGGAGCATGGAAAAATACCAAGTAGCAGCACGAGAGAAGAAACGAAACCAGCTTAGACAGGGACGAGAAAGGAGGCTCACCTTGTTCGGTCGACCCAATCTCAATACTCTCCCATCCCATCCCAGCCGAGTGGAGTGGTGCCCCCCTCCCCTCCCACCACTGCCACCTGCACGGCCACAAGGGGAGGGGCGCGAGGGAGTGGCGGTGTTGACCCCCACGCCCTCCCCCTCCACCTGCAAAGAGCACACACAGCAGCAGTGAGTGTACTGTGCGGGGACTTCAAAAGAATCGACTAGGCAAAGAAACTGCAAGAAGAGAAAAGGTGGGCGCCACTGGAGGAGGCACATCCACAAGCCGCAGACCCCTTAGTGAACCTGAAGGGCTTAACCTGAAGGGCATAACCTGAAGGGCTTAACCTGAAGGGCTTAACCTGAAGGGGGCTGTAAGGCTTTACAAGGGCTAAACCTGTACCTGAGGGGTTACCAGCTGTAGGAGTAGGGGGGTCTGTGGCTTGTGAGGCGGGCTCAACCAGAGGCGAGATTTCAGAGGGGAAAGCATGAAAAATGCATGAGAAGGCACGAAAGACAACACCTAAGAGGAGGAATACTTAGCTGGAAAGATGAAGCCCTGCTGCTGCCCCTTCTCCTCTCCTATTGCCCTACCTCCTCCTGCCCTCCCTCCTCCTGCCCTCCCTCCTACTGCCATCCCTCCTACTGCCCTCCCTCCTACTGCCCTCCCTCCTCCTGCCCTCCTTCCTCCTGTCCTCCCTCCTCCTGCCCTCCCTCCTCCTGCCCTCCCTCCTCCTGTCCTCCCTCCTCCTGCCCTCCCTCCTCCTGCCCTCCCTCCTCCTGTCCTCCCTCCTCCTGTCCTCCCTCCTCCTGTCCTCCCTCCTCCTGCACTCCCTCGTCCTGCCCTCCCTTCTGCTGCCCTCCCTCCTCCTGCCCTCCTGCTGCCCCCTTGGCGCCTTGCTACAGTGAGGGAGAAGGGAGAGGGAGGGAGGCAGGGAGCAAGGGACAGCAGTGAGAGAGGGGAGAAGAGCAGGCAGAAACGTGAAGGCAAGGAGGAAGCAAGAAAAGAAAAGTGCGCAACCGTCTCTGGCAGGGAGGGAAAAGTGGGCTCACCTTGTTTGGCCGACCCAATCCCGATACTCGCCCATCTCTTCTCAGCCGGCGTGCTGCCCCCCTCCCCTCCTCCCACCACTGCCACCTGCACGGCCACAAGGGGAGGAGCGCGAGGGAGTGGCGGTGTTGACCCCCACGCCCCTCCCCTCCACCTGCAAGGCACACACACAGCAGCAGAAAATCGACTAGGCAACAGAAGTGTGAAGCGAGGGAAGGGAAGGCCAACTGGTGAAGCCTCAAATACAAGCCACAGACACAAGGGGGGTTACACACCTAGAAAGGATTGACCTGAGAGTATACCTGCTGTACCTGGGGGGTTTACCTAAGAAAAAAGCGTCTGTGGCATGAAGCTTTGGCTCAATCAGAGGCGAGATTTCCGAGGCAAAGGCATGAAAAATGCATGACATTCAAAAGACGCCACGAAAGGCCAACACCTAGGAGGAGGTATACTTAGCTGGAAAGTTGAAGCCTTGTTGCTGCCCTTTCTCCTCTCCTCCGGCTGCCCCGTCCCCTCTGTCGCCCGTCTCTGCGCTGCTGACTGCTTCTTCCGATGCCTCTCAGTTCACTTTGCCTCCCCTCTCCATCCTGCCAAGTGACCTGCAGGGCGGGAGGAGGAGGGCAGGTACAGACGGAGTGAGTGGAGGGAAGCAAGGTGCAGAAGAGAAGCAAGCAGCATTCGACCAGGGAAGATGATGGTGGATGGTGAAAGCTCTGCTGCAAGGGGGACAAGACCGAGGGTGCCTACCACATGGTATCATAACACACGTGGGGCTGTGAGTACATGAGGCGACCTGCACCTGCTACCTACCTTTGGCTGAACCTACCACCTGTTACCTATCAGGGGAAGTGGTTGACTCCCTGGGGGTGTCCTCTTGCAGCAAGAGCAGCGGTGGGTGCATGAGAATGCAAGATAGACAAAACATGATGTAAGGACACGCAGAAGGGAAAGGGAGGGTGGAGCACTTAGCTTCGGAATGGGTTGCTGCAGTGACGATTCGAGGCAGGTGGCGTGAGTGAGGCGCTCGCTGCTCCCAGCATCCCACTTGCAACCTCTGCTGCCGCCCCTGCCTCCTTCCCCATGCCTCCCCTCCCCATGCTGCCAAGTGACCTGGAGGGAGGGAGGAGGAGGGCAGATATGGACGAAGTGAGTGCAAGGAAGCAAGATGCAGAAGGGAAGGAAGCAGCATTTGACCAGGGAAGACGATAGTGGATGGTGAGAGCTCCGCTGCAAGGGGGACACGAAAAAGGGGTCTACCACGAGGTACCATACCATACCATACCAAACCTGGGGCTGTGAGCACCTGAGGCGACCTGCTCCTGAACCTACCACCTGTTACCTGGGAAGGTGGTTGACTCCCTCTGCGTGTCCCCTTGCAGCGAGAGCAGAGACGGTGGCATGAGCATGCAGACAGAACGGAACTCGAAGGAGAGAAGGTGAGAACCTGAGGGTAGGGCACTTAGCTTCGGGCGAGGTTGGTGCAGACGTGAGGCAGGTGGCGTGAGTGAGGAACTCGCTGCTCCCTTGCCCATGCCGCCAACTAACCTGCAGGAAGGGAGGCAAGATAGGGACGAAGTGAGTGCACGGAAGAAGGGTGGAAGGAGCAAGATGCAGAAGAGAAATAAGCAGCAGACGACCAGGAAAGGCGAAAGCTCTGGCTGCAAGGGGGAAACGGCCGAAGGGGTCTACCACGTGGTACCATACCACACCTGAGGCTGTGAGTACCTGACACCACCTCCACCTGAACCTACCACCCGTTACCAGGGGCGGTGGTTGACTAACTCCCTCGGCGTGTCCCCTTGCAGCGAGAGCAGAGACGGCGGCATGAGCATGTGAGACAGAGCTGAACAGACAGGAGGAGTGAGGACCTTGGAGGAAGAACACTTAGCTTCTGACGAGGTTGCTGCAGAGATGATTCGAGGCAGGTGTGGCACTCGCTGCTCCCTTTTCCATGCCGATGCTCCCACTGCTGGCAGCCCTGCCTCGGCGACAAACCCTGGGAAGTAGGGAAAAGGGGGGGAGTGGGGGGAGAGGGAGGGAAGGGAAAAGACACATAGAGACGAGGAGATAAGAGGTGGTGGGCGCAGCGCGCTGGGTGAGCGGACAGATGGAAACGATACAAACTGAAGCAGAGGATTGACCAGCATCAGTGATGAGCAGATGAAGGGAAAATGAGAGGAAATGAGGCGGTATGCATGGCGTGTGCGCTGGCTTGTGGGTGTGGAGCCGCTGCTGCAGCAGCAGCGAGCACAGGACACAGACCAAAGGGGGAAAAGGGGTTAACCTGGGAACGAAAAAGGGGGTCTAACCTGGGGCGTGTAGGCTTTACCTGGAAAATGGGGGTTTCACCTGAGGGCTGTGGGGGCTGGTCTGTGCCCTGTGCACTGCGCTGCTAGCAACGGTTGGATTTTAAAATGAACGAGTTGCGAGGGGGTGCATGGTATGAAGAAGCATGCGCTATGGAATGTGGAAGGTGCAGGGGTTGAGAGCACTTAGCCTTCGACGATCAGGCACAGAGCGGATTCAGAGCAAATGCAGAGGCCACCGGTGCTGCCACTGCTGCTGCCACGAACGGTTCGCTCAGCACCGCCTGCCATCACTGCTGCTGTCCGCACTGCACATTGAAAGGCGAGCAGACAGCGAAATGACAACCAATCACGACGTTATTGAAGCACGAGATGGTGGTATCCAAATTAACGGGAATAAATGCACGTTGGGAAGGATTTGGCTGCAAGGTCGACTACGAATTTACTAAAGTAACATGTCTAAACGGACTGAAACTGGTGAAAAACGAAATCGGCGAAACACTTACCAAGATTCGTTGGATAACAAAATGGCGACGACTTGGTCGCAGCCTGGCGAATATGTGAAAGCAGTTGACAATCGAAGTGAAATCGAGGATGAACGCCAAGGGAACCTGTATAACAAGGAAGAAGTTGGTCAGATAAGGTTGTGAAGGGGAACAAATAAAATATGGAATCAGCTCGCATGACAAATTCGCGACGAATTACTCACCGAAAAATAGGTGAGTTGCAGATTGACGACGGGATGGTGAATCCCGTCTACTTGCGATCATCCCAATTTCAAAGATTGTCTTCACGAACGGAGAGAGTGGAGAATAGCGAAACTCCAAAATATAATAGCTTCGCTAGCAGGACGATGAAAAATGAACTCAGATTCTCAGGTATTCAGCTGAAGACGAGCAGAACGAGCCTGGTTGGAGAGAAATTGAGTGAACAACGGCTGAGAAATGACAGAATGAGAGGAGGGATCTGGGATTGAGTCACCCCCTCCAAACTGCCAACGCCTCCAGTTCTCGAACAACTGAGATCTGACGGTTCTAGATTGATCGTCTTACAATGGTCGGGTCTAACTTCGATCCTAACCGTAGCTCGAAAGTACCAGCATGTCACGTGTGTGTGGTTCATGAGAAAGAATCGTCTGGCTGCCAGATTCTTCACGTGTCCCCATCGCCGACAAAGTGGCTGCATCGAAACAGAAAGCGTCCGACGTGTTCCCGAAAATGAAGGATTTGAGGGGAACATGAACCATGTGAATCTCGACCGTAGATTTTCCAAATCTATCGCCCGTTCCGTCACTTCGCTATCTTTCGCGCGCGTTCCACTTTTCCGAATTGCTAGTGTTGTGACCCCCCTGCCTGTCTGAAGCATCTCTCCCTCCCTTGCCTGGTAACCCGAGACTACGCGAGCGAGGCAGGTTGGCGAGACAACCAGTTGGGGTAACGGTTGGGCTTTCGTAGTGGCGAACTTCCGGTTTGGTAAAAATTCGTGGCTGCTCCCTCCTGACGAACTGGTTGGTAACTCCTCTGATACCGATCTGAGTGGAGACAGGTTGCTCTGCTTGATAAGGGCATTTCCTACTCTTACCAATCAGAGCGCAAGAAATTTTTGGCCCTGTTCGGTAGCCCCCCCAGTCACACTGCGGTTGGTGCAGGTGCTCTTCCTCCGCCCAATTTTGACTCACCTTAAAACCCACCAAACCGTTATTAGAACACCATACCTGCCCAGTGCAAGCTGGCTACCGAACGCGTGGAAAACCCAGCCCGAGTGAAGTTGAGGACGCTACCACGAAAATGCTTGCTCAGGCAAGCTCGACCGCCAGTGAAAGTCAACCCCATTTCTGCTTTCCAGTTCCACTCAGGCAGGCCCTCTCTGAGTGGCACGCTGTAGGGTAAACGCTGCATTAGTTTCGAGTCGGGTCAAATTATGTTTTTCAGCCTGCTCGTTCAAACGATGAGAGATCGTGCCCGTTCGTGATTTTCTTTTATCCATATCGAGGGTGCTTCATTTGGCGGGCTGTTTTTTGTTTGTGATCTGGGCAGCCTCGTACAGAAGTAAAAGTTTCGACCAGTAATTTCTCGTGAAACACACGGTAACTTCTTGCATTTGTGGACGAGACTTTCTTTCAGTGTTAGTGGACGCCCGAGGCTACGAAACATGTCGTAGGCTTCCCCAGTTCGAGTGGGCCCAGTGAACTGGAAGGCTACCGAACAGGGCCTTATGACATGGCAGTTTCCGCATCCAGCAGCGTTCTGAACCAAAAGTATGCGCTTTGTGCATAGCGAAATGGACTGTACAAATATACATATAATAGAGGAGGGGGTTGCTGATTGATTGAGAATCATATAATAGAGATGCATTAACAACTTGCAGAGCAAATGTTCATACGGTAGGCCCAATTCTTTTGTCCAGGTGATGGAGATTGACACACCCTCCCTTTAGATTTATATGTTTTGGCTTTGTTGTAACTTCCATGCGGACAATGCCGTCAGCTTGTCATAAATCCAGCTAGATGTATGAATACCGTCAGCTCACTAAGATTGTCGAATCATGTCGTCGGCTTTTCTAGCCATACCAGCATCACGACCTCACACGACAACTATACATTACCGTACATACTACGTTCTAGTACTGGTTTGTCCCTTTCCAGCATCTTCCTACGGAATTCACTGTACCCTACACCTGGTCGTCGTGAAACCACCAGCGCGTGTTCTTGGGGGACTGGCCACTGCGCTGCACGTACCGATCGTTGTCTGCCGGCCTCACCTGCAGGGAAGGGGGGTGTGGAGGGAGTGTGGGGGTAGAGGGGACAGTGAGCAAGAGACGACTTTCCAGAAGTGTTCTTGGGCGACTGTACCGATCGTTGTCTGGCGGTCTCACCTGGATGGAGGGAGGGGGGGAGAGATGAGCAGAGGACAGAGAGGCAGATGGGGCAGAGGGGCAGAGAGGCACAGAGGCACATACTGCACATAACATACCTTGTCTTGCTGTAGAGAGAAGGGAAGCGCACCTTCTCCTTGCAGCTGGAGAGCATTGAGAGAATGGAGAGGCATGGTGAGGCACGCGGAGGCATGGTGAGGCACGCGGAGGCATGGTGAGGCACGCGGAGGCATGGTGAGGCACGCGGAGGTGTGGTACTCTGCACTGAACATACCTTCTCCTTGCAGCTGGAGAGCATGGAGAGGATGGAGAGACACACTGCGCTGACAGTCATGGCTGGCGACCACGAGTCGTACAGGATGTCTGCAGGATGCACCGGTGGGGTGCGGTGCGGGGCATGTGGGCAGGGTGAGGTGGGATGACGGCACATGGCCGGCAGGTGACTATGAGGCATGGTGTAGGTATGTGATGCATGGTTGTAGGATTAAATGGGTATGTGCCAACCCAAGGCGTTTGGCACATACCGAGCGATAACACAGTCAGACATGAAACATGGCAATGCACATGCGGCCTACCAAGGCATATGTGGCCTACCAAGGCATATGTGGCCGTTGCTGTAGATGTGTGGGTGCACTGGTGGGTTGCGCGAGAATATGACCTGCGGGTCGGGATGCGATGGATTGGGAAGAATTCAGTTGATTTGTGTTGCGTTGGAGTGGGCTGGTGTGGGTTGGTTCAAGTTGACTTGGATTAAGATAGGAGATTGTGGAGGTGGGATTCGGGAAGGTGGAAGCGAGGAGGAGAAGGGACAAGGCGCGAGCATGCTGGAACAGCGACAGGTGCAGTGCGGGAGAGAATAAAGCTGAGGGTGCAGGAGAGGGTGCAGGAGGGGAGAAGAATGCAATGGATGCAGCAAGCAAGGAAGGCCAGTGCGAGGAGCACCTGAGGGGCCTCGAGGGGGTAGTTGGAGGGGAAGTCGACCTGCAGCTGAAACACGTGCTTTGAGACGTCTCAAACCACGCTAAGGCCGGTGAGAGGAGAAGCGCACCTGAGGGGCAGCTAAGGGCGGCGAGAGGAGACGCGCACCTGAGGGGCTTCGAGTGGGTAGTTGGAGGGGAAGTCGACCTGCAGCTGAAACACCTCCCCTGCATACAGCGTGCCCGCTGCCCCGTGCACGTCTATGCTCCATCTGCCCCACATGCACGGTATGTATGCACGCCAGAAGGGAGAGGGGGAGAGGGGGAGGAGAGCGAAGAGGGGAGAGGGGAAAGAAGGAGAGAGGAGAGGGGTGGTGAGAACGAGCAGAGGGAAGGAAAGCCGAGGGGGCACCCTTGCAAGTTGTCACTTCCTCCCAACCCCCTCCCTTACCTACCTCCCCACCACTCTGCACCGCACCTCTGCAGGTTGTCACTCGGGTGGTATAAAGGGGGGGTTTGCGCTGCCACTCGGTCAGTCTCCGTTCTAATTGCATTCCCCTTCTCACCACCACCACCCCACCCCTTACCACGCACCTTTGCAGGTTGTCACATTGGCCGGCACCCACCCTTCCCCCTCCCCACCCCTCTGCACCGCACCTCTGCAGGTTGTCACTGGGGTGGTACACGAAGCCATGCGGGGGGTTGCGCTGCCACTCCGCCAGCTCCCTTCTGAGGGGTGTTAATCCCAACCCCCTCCCCCCTACCTCCCTTCCAACCTCCCCCCCATGCAGCACCGCACCTCTGCAGGTTGTCACTGGGGTGGTACACAAATCCGTGGGGCGGGTTGCGCTGCCACTCCGCCAGCTCCTTGTGCAGCCGCCCCGCCGCTATGCGACTCAAGCCCTGCCTCGGGGGTGAGGCGGGAAGAGTGTAGAGAAAATAAGAAACGACTCTCCACTATGCGACTCAAAGCCCTGTTCTCGAGACGTGTGGGCAGCTGTGGGAACAGGGGAGATAGTGCGAGATAGGACGAGCGCCGTGTCAACATGAAGCGATCCGCTATGCGACTCAAAAACCCTCTCAGGGGGGAATGCGGTGCGGGGAGGTCTCGATGGGGCGAGGGCGAGGGACGAGAGCGGAGAGAGGAGCGAGGGGAGAGGTGTGGTGCGGAGTGCGCGCGGATGAGCAAGCGCATGAGTGCGCGCATGCGGGAGAGCGCGCGCATGCGCCACCCAGTGGCTTCTTCCGCAGCACCGCCCCGCTGGTCGCCACGCGCGCCCTTTCAGCCCCGCGATTTCCTCCGCCGCAACAAGCGCAGCGCGTAATTCCGCAACAGGCGCGCGCCATGGTGCTGCGAGCATCGCCTGGTGGTAACTTGTAACGCTGCGAGTCGGGCCATGATGCAGCGAGTCGGGCACGCTGTACCTGCTGCTGCTGGCTCCCCGCAGACGCCATGCCTCCTCCTCGCACGCCGCACGCAGCAAACCGCACGCCGCACGCCGAACGACGGGCGATGGACGGCCGCGCTCCTTCCTCCTACCTTTCGCCCCTCCTCCTCCTTCCTGCGCTCGCTGCCTCCCTTACTTGACCACGACTTCTTAGCGCCTCAACGGTCGTCTCGCCCCTACGCCTCCTTCGAGTCGTTCTCACTGCTACTCAAGCTTTGAAGGAGGCTTTAAATTCCTAGGTTAATGCCTCTAGGGCACCTGTTTCGCCTGGCAACGTGTCGGAAACGAAACGAGCGAAACGAAATCGACGGTATAACCCGAAACGCCGCGTAAAGCTTAGCCCTATGTCGCGCACGAATGAATACAATCCTAATTATGATGCCTATCGTAAGACAGACTCTATATAACCTAAGATTCCCCCAGTGCTACCACTCCGAAACGCCTCGCGACCTTAACTCCATGGTTCGCGGTTGCGCAAAAATCACACATCAGTTCCTTCCGGCAACGAGCTGGCCGGCGACCGCTCTACGTTGCTGGGATCTCAGCAGACCGCGTGCGCCGGAAACATAGGCGCAAGATCGCAACGACGAGACGGCGAGGTAACGTTCATCCGCGAAAGACAAGACAAATCTTGGAGTGAGGAACGTCTCCTACCAGCTTAGCCCTTGGACCATGGGTGCTTGCTTCGCTATGCGCGGTACAGTTCGATTCACTTTCCTGAACGATCGCTCAAACCAGTGTGAGCTCAGATTCGTTAGTGGAATAAAAATCTACACAAAAGCACTATCAATTTTTGTGTTCACAGCATCTGACTTCACTTCGCCCACCTCAAACAGTTGCAAAACAACATACTGCTATGCTACTCATCCTTATGACTAGCCACGGATTCTCTTCTTGATGGCTTGTGTTGCAGCCAATTGCCACTGGGCAAGCTCATTTGCCGCCTCAACGCCCCCAGCATCTTCCTCACAGGAGCTCCTCCCGTCCCATTCGAAAACGACGGGAGGCGTGTTTGCGAGATGTTCCGCTCGCAACCACCACCAGCCACACCACCAAACGGTGACCGATCAGCACAGGAAGTCGCCGAGCAGTTGGACTCACTGCGAGGCACGAAGCTCGCAGGCAGGCGGTCGCACGATGCCGTGTGGGAGCGGGTGATGTGCGACGAGCGCGGCCAGGGAAGAAGCGACGAGGAGGTGAGGGAGCGAGAGATGGCGCGATCAGCCATGGGGGAACCAAAGACAGGCTCTTCCTCTGGTACTTGCGAGGCCCACCCAGCAGTGGGGGACACTGAGGGGGTTTTCCGGCGCCAGGGGGAGAGGGCGGAGTGGGCGGAGGCGGAGGCGGAGGAGGGGGTGGAGGCAGGGGAGGAGAAGGAGCGGAAGTCCCAGGAGGTTCGGGTTCGGGGAGGGGAAAAGGGGGAGGTGGTACCCGTGGCGGAAGGGGAGCGGGGCGGGATGGTGGAGCAGGGGGAGGTGAGCTGGCATTTGATGGCGGACACGAGGCGGTTCGTCTCCATGACTATGTTGACCTCCGCTTCCATCACCGCGAGCCGCAGCGCCGCTGCTTCGCTGTCGCTCGCCGTGAATAGCGCTGACGCGGGGCGCGGAGTCGCCACTTCCTCTGAAAAGTCACGCGCACAAGGCATGGGTGGGGAGGGAAAGAGCTATTTGAGTGAGAAGGTGGAACACCGGTCGCGTGTTACGACAATGCGCGCCAGAAATAACGTTCAATCGCGATCGCGGGAGAAGAAAACAAGGTACACTTACACGCAAAATGACACCCTATAATTAGACAATTCAACTCAGACAGCCGAACAACGAGCACGCGGAGATGCTCACCCGGCAGGCCGTACAGCGCCGCGTCCTCGATGCTAAAACTCGGCTCGCGCGTTAACCGCCGCCCGAGAAACGCGTCGACGTCCAGCATCGCCGCATCGTCGCCCTCCTCGCTTTCGTCTTCCTCGTTCCACTCCTCCTCGATTTCCAGCCACGCTCGGCTTTCCCGGGCGCCGGTTCCTCTCATATGCGTCGAAGTCGACTCAAACGTCACCCCCGGGCCGTGCGGTGCGGCAAATTTCTCCGCGGCGCCCACACTTGCGTCCGCGCGTAGCGAGTCGCCTCTCCGCGTCGCGTCGAATAATGAATTGGATACGGCGTCGTGCCAGGAGGAGTTGCGGCAGCGGGTGGGCTGCTGGTCGTCCAACGCATTGGTGAGGCGCAGATCGAGGAGCAGAGTCGGCTTGCTCGCCGGCATGTGGCTGGCTCGAACTCGAGGGCCAACTTCCATTGCCAAACGATTAGGGTTAAATGGATGGCAACGGAAAGAAACGGAAAGATCGCGCAGATTCTGACGAGAAGAAAAAGCGGAGTCGGCTAAAATTCCTATCAGTAAGAGAGGTCCGAACGAGACACTGTATGATAACTTCTTTTGCTCACTAGCCCAAAGAGGAAATTAGCAATGCTATGGTAAATGACCGCAGGGGCGCTTATGCAACCTGTATGGCTGAATTGCGTAAGATATTTATTTATCTCGGAAAATGACACAAGCTGGCACAAGCTGTCAGCTCAAGGAGCTGCCTGCGCCCTCCTAACAAGATGACTGGCGGAACGCGGAAACGAGCAGCGGATTCTGTGAGGGTGAGGTAGGGGGTGCTCCGTCTTTGCTCTTCTCTTCTCTCCACCACACACCCAGAAATCATGGTGTGAGTTTAGGGAGAAGATAATACATTATGTACAGTTACAGTGTTGGGAAGCTGGAGAGACAGGAGTGGCAGTGGAGGAGGGGCAGGGAAGGAGGCAACGTAACGCACTTCACCGCGCTATAAATCCCAATACCGCAACACAACCTTTTTAAACCATGAGTGACAAATGATGCGTTAGATTCCAGATCAATATCTATCTGTGTACCGACAAAGTGGCTGCTCGTACGTCTACAGTAAATGGAGGGAACAGAAAATTGTGGCAACAAAAGGGAGGGTCAGGGGCAGGCCTGTCGCTTACTCTAAACCCAACCCTTAAGAAGTTGAGCTGGCCCAAAACCAGCCCGGAAGGATCCGGGTAGGGGCTGATTTTGGCCCGTAAGAATCAGGGCTGGCCAGTAAGAATCAGGGCTGACTTCATGCCTAGTGTATTTGCAGCCAGCAACATACCCGCTTACAAGAACTATGAAGTTTCAACTAAATGTGTTTGAGGCGGATTCGCGGATAGGGGTCAAGAAACTCCAAGGGGAAGCTAGTTCGGGAAAGGAGGAGGGGGGGACATACACGGAAATCTGGGCAAGGCCCAAAACCAGTCCGTTAGGGTCCGGCCAAGGGCAAAACCAGTTCGTTTTCCTTACGGGCTTCCTCGCGAACTAACCCTTAAAATCTCTGAGGTGCGTCAAACCCAGCCCTGAATTCTCAGGACAAACGGGCAAATGCCCGTGAATCGACAGGCCTGGTCAGGGGTGGGTGATGGTGTGTGTGGTCTGCGTGTGGTGGAGGTTTGCCTGGATGAAAAAATCATGGCCTCCCACTGGCTATGTGACAGTAGCGAGCGATATCCGACAGCCTCTTGCTGTTGCAGCAGCAGGCATAAAAAATCGGGAAGAATCTATGAAATCAATGTTGAGCCCTGTCATTATTCAACTGGCGGAACACGCCAGACAACAAGCATTTAATGCTTTTTGGGACCAATTCTGCGGTGCTGTATGGTATGTACAGTACAGCGGGATACAACTTCATTAGAGAATGACGCATTCCCTCATTTATCTTGAACGTAAAACCTTTACACGATATATCTGAACATTGACCTACTGTGGTTAGCCTTTCCCTAATGGGCATATATATAAAAAAATCAGAACAAAACAAAAAAGGACTATTTTTTCGCAGACCACCTAAGGGGACTAACAAGAATAACGCATGGCCAGGTACACTGACGATTACCATCAGCACACCAATCCAGGACACTGCGGAACCCACTCCCATGTGTGGTCTCCAGCAGCTCAGCAGCACCTAGGCAAAATTAGGATACATGATAGGCTTGAGAGCATCAAGCTTGTCTTGCCTCACAGTGTACCAGTCGTCGTTAAGAATCCCGCCTGTGTCCTTGCTGAGCGGCCCCCAGAAGGCGAACGTCCACGACACCTTGAGCGCCTTCATGTACTTGATGAGCGTGAAGAACACCGTCCGCTCCACCCGGTTCAGCTCCGAATCCGGAGGCGGCAGCTTCGACCCAAACTCACCCACCCACACCGGCGCGTACCCCTTCTTTTGAATAAAACCCCAGTGGTGGTTGTACAACCCGGGCAGGTTCTTCGGGAAACTCGGCGTGACGGTCTTGTTGAAAAACTTTTGGAAGTAGACAAAGGGGCCGTACTCGTGAGCGGTGTAGGCAAGCTTGTTGGGCACGGTGAGCTTTAGCGGCGCCTTCATGAGCACGCGGCAGTTGCCGCCCCACCAGTAGTCGTTGTGCATGCCCTCCAGGAAGATGATCCAGTCTGGGTTCACGCGCTGAATCGCCGCCGCCACACTGCACGCGAGCACACACGCACGGTGAGCGCGGACGGGGAGAGGGTTGAGCACAGGGAACGGGCAAGATCGGCGCTCGCGGAAGCATCATAAGCTTCAATTTTGCGAACTGGATAGGAGGATCTCTAGACAAACCAAAGGCGGACGAGGGAACAATGGCGGGACTCACATTTTGGTGGCGGTGCGGAAGTTGAGCGGAGGATTCTCGTATTTGCCCTCCACGTCCCAGTACGGCGAGGGGAACGGCGCGGTCTTTTCGTTGAAGTGCGGCTCGTTCAACAAATCCGCGCCAATGACCGTCGGGTTACCACGGTACCGTTTCGCGAGCATGATCCATCGCTGCAGCCACTTTTTCGGGGGCGTGGTGGGGTCGTACCAGAGACCTTCGGTGGGAAGATTCAGCAGCAGGTGGTGCTGATGGTAATCCAAGATCACCTTCATGCCTCGCTTGCCGGCCGCGGCGATGATCTTATCCATCACTTGAAGCGAGTTGAGGCCCTGCAGGTCGGGGTTCTTGCCGTAGTCGATGCTCTTGGGGTAGCAGCCGGGCTCGAGCGCGTCTCCCGCGAAGGGCAGGCGGATGGCGTTGAAGCCCAGCTTGCGCATCTGGTCGAGGTACGAATCGTAGCTGCGCGCCCACAGCCCGTGCACGACAGCCACGTCGGACTCGAACCCCGACCACATCAGCCCGGAGAAGCGCACCTGCCCGAAGGAGAAACGCGGGGGAAGACGCGGGGGAAGACGCGGGGGACGGGATTAGGCGCGATGGGAGGAAGCGACAGGAGGAAACGAGGGAAACCGAGAAATGAACCAGAGACCGAAAAAAGGAAAGCGATGAAAGGCAGGGAGGTAAAATGAAGGAGAAAGTAAAATGGATTAACGCGGTGGGTTTTGCGGGATGGAGATTACTGGAGGGCACGGCATGGAGTCAACGAGGCAGAGAGGTAGGAATGCAGGAAAGGCAGGGATCGCGTACCACGCGGCCATATGCGTCGACAAACTGGTTGCCCTTGACGGACCAGAAGCCCGAGCCGAGAGGCGCGGCTAGAGGATTTGTTGAACGAGCCGAACGAGGTAGTCGACCCACCAGGGCCATGCGACGAGTCACGTTGGCGCCATCGTCGGTTGAGAGCGGTGAATGAGCAGCGTGGACTGCTTGGAAGACGGCGAGCAGTAAACAGCACGCTTGTAGGACTCTATTTAGAAGTGGATCGCCCATTGCAGTGACTGCGCTTCTGTGATGAGAGAACGAGGATGGCGAACTTGGGGAGTACTGATCTGATAGAGAGTATTCTATGAGCAGACGAGGTCACAGTCCGTCGCACACGCTTATGAGGCAGCTTTCTAAACAGGAGCTCACTGAATGATCGTTTAAGCAGATTATATTATGCAATATATCGCTCGCGGACGGTCTCAAGCGCAATCATTGATTTTCCGTTTCGGCCGAAAATTTCTCTCTGTTGAGAATAGCTACGGAGTTTGAGCCATGCCAGTGCCAACTCACACCAGCACCATTGAAGCCGATGTTCCCAAGAGAATGTTGGCAGTGCAGGCAGACATTCCGACATGTCTTTCCGCCAGAAATTCCTCCACCGACGAGCCGCATTTCTGCGCCCTCCCACTGACAAGCAGGCTCCCCCTGACTGACGAATTGGGACTTTCCGCCCGCCCCAGCCCCTGTCCCCCCAAGCGCAGTCCTGTCACGCGACTCGTGCGTCTCCGCACACACTGGTGTCACGACGGCGCAGCAGCCGGGCTGTGTTGGGGGGAACTCTAGGGCGATTCGGCTTCGAGAATGGCTTGTGCGGTGGTGAGTGCTGTGCTGTGACTACTGCGAGGTGGTGTTTCTCAGAAGCACGCCTAGATGCTTTTCATAGCGGGTACGAACAGAAGCAGAACACTGATATCCATCCTCATACAGTTATTTCTTAGCCAAGGAAACAATGCAATCCTCTACACCTATGGAGAATGTACACGTACAAGAATCCGAACAACATTCGCACAAATCGTGTTAGCTAAGGATATTGCGCGACACTCCGCAACGCAGACACCATTCGTCTTGTTTTCCTCATTCTATGTGCGTTCATTCAGTAGTTCCCCCAATCTCGACGGGCCCTTAGCCGCGTTGTCGTGTCCTAATTACCTTCCACTACCAGCGATAATCTAGCGCTTCCGTCGAATTTCCGCTTGCCAGGATGCGGATCGACATGAGCCTCGTGGATCCGCCGTCGCTTCAACCCGGCCGTTTCGACGACGCAGATATCGGATTCGCCGCGCCGTCATTCCCGCTGCCTGCCGTGAAGGATGTGAGCCGATTCGATTCCTCACGCCCCGCATATTCTTGAGAACGAGTAGTTTTTACGATTTGTTAGACACACAATACCGGATTTTCGCTTAGTAAGGGGTACCGGCACGTCGAAAGCTGTAAGGAATTTCCGCACAGCTCTATTCGCCTCGACGGAATCCATGTCTAGGCTTGGCACGGTTCGATATCTCTCAGCATCATCTCCTCTCCATCCTTTTCTCGCGTTTCCTCTCCTCTCGATTCTTCCCCGCACCTCTCGCTGCCTGCGCGCTCCTCGCTGCAGCTGGACGGGTTCCAGAGCGCGGCGTCGGCGATGGGGAAGCCGCAGCACGGGGCCACCACGCTCGGATTCGTCTTTGAGGCGCCTGAAAAATCCTTTCTCTCCGCTCCTCTCTCTCTCTTCCCGCACCTCCCTCACCCTCCCCGCGCCTTTCGCTCCCTCCGCGCGCTCTCCCCGTTCCGTCTCACCGCAGCTGGACGGGTTTCAAAACGCGGCAATGGAGATGGTGAAGCCGCAGCACGGCACCACCACGCTCGGGTTCGTCTTCCAGCACGGCGTCATCATCGCCGTCGACTCGCGCGCCACCATGGGCACTTATATCGGTGCGCGCTTATATCGGGGATTGGGCCACCCGTCGTCTGCCTCTCCTCTGCCTGCCCCTCTGTGCCATTCCCATCATTGCGAAATTTGAGCCGCCTAAATGTCTTCTCCTGTGTCGACTCGGTACCATGTGCGTCTTACCCCCCTCCACACCCCTTCTATCCCCGTGCTTGCCTCCTCCCTGCGAGCAGCCTCACAGACAGTGAAGAAGGTGATTGAGATCAACAAATACCTGCTGGGCACCATGTGCGTCTTACCTCCCTTCACTTACACCCTCCACACCCCTTCTCTCCCATGTTTAACCTTCTCCCTGCGAGCAGCATCGCAGACGGTGAAGAAGGTGATCGAGATCAACAAGTACCTGCTGGGCACCATGGCGGGCGGCGCAGCAGACTGCCAGTTCTGGCAGCGCAACCTGGGCAAGCAGGTGCGTGGGGAGCAGATGGGTGCGACTGGTGCAGACAGATACAAGTTTGACCATGGTCCCTGACAGCTTATTCTGGGCTGACACATGGCGGGCGGCGCAGCGGACTGTCAGTTCTGCCAGCTCAACCTGGGCAAGAAGGTATGTGGGGGGCAGACGGGTGCAACTGGGGGAGGCAGGTATGGGTGAGTTGAGAGTTACAGATCTGGTTCCTCTCCTATTCTGGTGGTTCACGGTTGGTGTTCCCTTCCCCCTGCCTTCGCCTCGCCCTCCACCCTCCTTCCTCTTTCTCCAATCACCACCTTCCCGCGCTCACTCCGCCGTGCCATTGAACTGTTGCGCGAGTGTGGCAGTGCCGGCGCGAACTGGAAAACGGGTTGCAAATTTTGAAACGTCTAACCCCCCCAATCCCCGACGCTCCCCCTTCTCCCTCTCCCAACACGCACATGTGGCAGTGTCGGCTGCACGAGTTGGAGAATGGGCGGCGCATCAGTGTTGCAGGGGCGTCGAAGCTGCTGGCCAACACGCTCTTCTCGTACCGCGGCATGGGGCTCTCCATCGGTACCATGGTCGCCGGCTGGGATGAGACGGTGAGATCAACGGCTGGGATGAAACGATTTAGTGAGCTCGACGGCTGTGATGGGACGGGAGGGTAGTGGGATCTAGATGGTGTTGAAGCTGCTGGCCAACACGCTCTTCTCGTACCGCGGCACGGGGCTCTCCATTGGTACCATGGTCGCTGGTTGGGATGAAATGGTCAGTGGGATCAACGGCTGGGATGAGACGATAAAGTGAATTCGATGGCTGGGATGAAGTGGTTGGTAGGGCATATGTTCAGTCCGAGAAACAATGTGAGGGCGATTGTGTGCCTAGTTGATGGGCAAACGGGCATCGGTGATTCGTTCCTTGTGCCGTAGGCTCTCCTATCTGACAACAATTGCATGCCATGTACCATTCTTCTGTGCTTCCATGCTGCCACGCTGCCATGCTGCCATGCTGCCATGCTGGCAGGGCCCGAAGCTGTTCTACGTGGACAGTGAGGGGTCGCGCTACGAGGGCCGGCGGTTCTCAGTGGGGTCTGGATCCACTTATGCCTATGGCGTGCTGGACGCAGGGTGAGCGAGAGGAGGGGGGGGAGGGGGAGGGGGAGGGGAGGGGGAGGGGGAAGGGGAGGGGGAGGGGGAAGGGGAGGGAATGGTGACACGTGAGTTGGCACAGAATTCACTTGGAGGGCCGGCGATTCTCAGTGGGGTATGGGTCCACTCATGCATATGGCGTGCTGGACGCAGGGTGAGCAAGGGGACAGGGGCAGAGGGTGTTTAGGGGAAGCGGGTTTGTTTAGGATGAAAGAGAGGATGGAAATGAAGTTTGGGTGGGTAAAGGGGTGGGAGGTGACGGTGGGAGGGAAAGCTGGAGAAGGGGCGGGCAGGGAGGTGGGCAGGTAAGAGTGGGAGTGAGGTGAACGAGGGGTGTGGTCAACGAATTAGGAGCAGTTTCTTACCAGGTGCTTGTAAGCATGGCATGCAGATTGACCTTAGCTGTGTAACCGGAACCATGTGTCTCTTCTGACGTGTCCTTCTCACGTGAACATGGAATTTTCTGGCATGGCATGGCATGGCAGGTACCGGTGGGACATGTCAGTGGAGGAGGCAGAGGAGCTGGGGCGAAGGGCCATCTACCATGCCACCTTCCGTGACTCCGCCAGTGGTGGCACCGCCTCAGGTGCGTGCATGTGCACTGAGGGAGAACACTTGGTTATTTGAGGCGTTACCTTCAGTGGACATTAAGTTTGAAATTAGGAATGCATTGCAGGAAGTGGTGGGGTGGCTGCGTATGCTCTGTTTTTCCTGCACTTCGTTTGATGTTCCTTTACTACCCTCCCCCCCCCCCCCCTATCTCCCTCTCCTCTCCCCTCCCTCTCTGTGCCACTGATTGCTCGTATGCTCCTATATGTGTTGTGTTTTTACCGTAATAACAGTGTACCACGTGGGTCCTGAGGGCTGGACGAAGGTGTCTGGTGACGATGTAACAGAGCTACACTACAAGTACTACCCTTTGAAGGAGGAGGTCAAGGAGGAGGCGGAGGCTATGGTTGATGCATGAGGACGAGATGTTTATACCTGTGTCCTTTAGCTTTGTGCTCGAATCGCAGATATTTTTCTTTGGAAAATCTTGTATAGTGAAGAAGTTCGATTGGAATCATGCCAAAAATCCTATCGAATTCGTGGTCACTACGCTCTATGCAATTATCAATACTTCTGATTGTATGCTTAGCACAATCGATTTGCATCTGCTCGTGTACAATCCGAACATCCACCCCTCGCCGCGGCGCCTTATACCGCGCCAAGTGCTTGAGTCTGACGCCAGGCGCAGCCATTCCTGAATCCCCGAATCCCCAGGGAGTCGGACTTGGTCAGCTGGCATGGCAGAAGCAGCATTCAATCCTAGGGAGTTCCGCATAAGAGTCTCTTTTTAGCGAGCATTCCAGTCATGGTGGTGCCTAGGGAGCTGCGACGAGCGACTACACATCCGCCGCGCTAGCCGTGTCGTAACGAGTCGTCGTGCCGTGATTCATGACTTCGCTTTCGGAAACATGCGATGTTTTCGAGGGCATATTTAGCTATCGCGGAGCCGAGATTAGAGACTTTCGGAGCTTATCTCTGGGTTCTTAGATATCCATGCGCAGATAACTCGTTCCTGTTAGTTTTCAGGCAAGCAGGCCCGCGGTACTCAGCTGGCGAGTTCGTACTATCTCCTAACCTCGACCCGCTTCCCGTCCCCGTGCGCGAGTCTAGTCAGCTCGACTAGTCAGATTCTGAACGCACTTTCAGTCGTAACTTGCAGTTCGTGATGTTTTAGCTTTCGCCGACGTTCTCGACCAGTAGATGTCAGATCTGAGCGGAAGTGTGATTGTCGACCGACGTTTCAG